TTTCCTCTAGGTTTTCAAATTTGTTATGGTTTTCCATAGTATTCTGTTATGATTCTTTTAATTTCAGTTGGCTCTGTTGTGACATCCCCCATCTCATTTCTTATACCGGTTATTTGCTTCCTCTCCTGTTTTTCTTTTGTCAGCTTGGCCAGTGATTTATCAATTTTGCTGATCTTTTCAAAGAACCAACTTTTGGTCTTGTTAACGCCTTCAGTTGTTTTTCTCTTCTCTATTTAATTTAATTCTGCTTTAATTCTTATTATTTCCTTTCTTCTGGCGCCTGAGGGCTTCTTTTGCTGCTCTCTTTCTACTTGTTCCAGTTATAGGGTTTATGTTTTGATTTTGGCCCTTTCTTCTTTTTGGATGTAGCGCTGGAGTTTTAAGAACTGGAAGGGCACCCAATTCTAAATAAAAGTATACTTGGTTGTTCCAAAATCAAGTAAAGAGGAAGCTAAGCAACAGGTTTGTTTCCCAGGTGATGTAAATTGAGCAAAGAGCTAAAAAGAGAACAACAGCTGAGGAGCCAACACCAAGCTGTAGCAGCTCTGCTTCTACACAGTGCAAAGGGCTTTCAGCCAGACTGGGTATAGCAGCCTCCCTGGGAGCAGGCAGCCTCAGCCACTACAGCTCACGGTTCCAAAGCTTAGAAGAGCAGTAGCTGCAAAGGTAGCAACAATCTCATGACTACACCCAGGCAGGAACACTCTAGAGACCAAATTGGCAAGAGCTGATTTTGCAAATTAGCATCCGTCTTTAAGGGCCTCTTAGAAGACTGGTGTTTAAGGGGTCCAACCAGAAAAGCTCTTGTTGAACTTGGCTTTTTAATTGTTTTGGGTGCACTGCTTTGGAAGTTGTTTTTTCTTTTTTTTTTAAATAACTCATTTTAAATTATTATTAATGAACAGCTTGGTTTAGTTAAGAAAGTAGAAATTGTAGATTCCCTGGCCAAGCATTTTGTGGTGAACTTAGGCAAGTCAACTGTCCAGTTGAGTACGACATGGGGGTGACATGAAGACAAGCCTGGCAGTGTGATGTGTGGGGCAGCATCCAAGAACGGGGATGTCAGAAACAGCGGCCTTGGGAATGCGGAGGAGGGGGTGGCATCATCCGTGTTCTGAGGGAAGAATTGCTACGATTTGATGATGGACCAGATTTATGCGGAGGAGGCAGTGAAGAAAGCAGAGACAGTGTAATGGTTTGTGCCAGGTGACGACAAGCATGGTAGTGTCGCCAGTTGAGACAGCAAATGTGCGGAGTGGGATGACAGTGGAGCTGGTCGTGGGGAGGACACTGTCGACAACAGTTGCTGGGGGAGAAGGGTACCTGGGCGGGGGGACACTAGGATTTCATTGAGAGGAACTAAAGGATTATTGAGCAGCAGGGCCACCTGGGTGTCTGAGGCCCAGTGCCTGCCTCCAGCAGCAGCTGGTGTCCTGTTCCACAGCAGCAGACAAGGTGACGCTGGGCCATTTCACAGGGGCCGGGAGCAGGGTGATTGTGGAAGTCTCAGGGTGTCTGCTGCTGGAATCCAAGCTGGACATGGAGTTGTGGCTCTACAGGAGCTCCAAGGGCCTGCATGAAGTTGGAAGGTTTGAAAGGTCCCATTTCCCCTCCTCTGTAGATAGGCTGGTGGTGAGGATGGATGGAAAGAGCTGAGCACGCGGAGCTGAAGCCTGCCGTGACAGATTCTCCTCCAGTGCAGGCACAGCCTCTGTCCAGAGACTTGTGTAGTCTGACAGCAGCCAATCAGTAACGTGTATTTCTGCTACAGTTATGTTCCACATCTGACGCTTTGCTTATTTAACTGACCAGTGCGGTCTTTCAGGGTCATTGTGACAGGTACTGATCTTTGTCATCATCTTACTGGAGATTAGCCCTGGCGTATTTGGAATTAACGCATGCTAGATATTAATTAATTATAATTACAGATATTCCTGTTGGTAAGAGGAATTCAGTACTGCAAACGTTATTAACCTTCTGTGTGTCAGGGATTGTGGGAGCAAAAAGGTGATTGAGAAATCCCAAATGCTTATACAGTGGAGATGTTTCATAGTGTGAGGTTATGACTTAACGATGAACTCAGGTCATTAGATGGATTTCTTTAAGGCAAAGCGTTTTTGGTTATTTTGTGTTCGTTTTCTGTGATTCTCTGCTCCCAAGTCATCCATGTGATCGGCTCACGTGGGGTAAGCACTCTGTCTTTTGCGTGCTCTGTAAATCCAGTCCAGCCTCAGCGATTACAGTGGGTTCTACACGTGGTCTGCACTCTAAGATGATTGACCATTGTATTTCCTAGGACTGCAGAACACTCAAGCGACTTGCTTTTTAGAAAAACCTGACTCCTTCATACTTGTCAGTAAGGACGGGAGGTTAGAGCAGGGATGTTCGTTTATTTCCCAGCCCTCTGCCTCTCTTCCTCTCGAGATTTAATCAGGGTGGTTCACAGATGTTCAAGACACCAATTTAATAACTCCAGACACCCTCCAAACCTAATTTCCACTTGGAATTATCTTTTCTCCATATTTTGGGATAAATAAACACTTTAAGCATGATGGACTGCCTGAGTCTATTGGCTGTTTTGAATGAACAACTCTAATGGGGTTTCACTGTACTTGAGTTAGGGTACAGTAAGTCAGGCCTCGTTAACTTGGGCTCTTTCGATTTGGAGTTCATGGAAATTGGCATAGGGGCTTTTTATTATCTAAGGGCTTACTAAGAAATTAATAGTGAACGATGGGCATAGAGACTGAAACAGAAGGTATTTTCAAGTGACGTTCAGCATTTCAGAAGCCTTCCTTCACAGACATACTAATGTGCTATTTATAAGTCATCCTGTCTATTTAAAACTAGTCCCCTAATGACCTCAGACAGAAAATGTTTCATTAGCCTAGTTTCTGTCCATATTTAGAAATAATCAAACCATCCATTTTAAAAGAAATAGTCCATAATTCAGTCTTGTCTCTTTACTCCACTATCGCTGAATGTGAATTGTGACACTTCACTGGGCTTGGTTGCCCCCTGACTTTGATATCACGGGTTCTTGGCAAGTAAGTCATGTCCTAGAAGCATAGCTATAAGGAGTTCTGGGCCCATCGTGTCCAGGAAGCTGTTGTGTGCCTGCAGAGGGGAAGGGCGCACATGGAGTGGCCCACGAGGCAGGTAAAGATGCCGCGTCACTGTGTCCGCTTAAAGAAGATCTCATGCAGTAAAAAGCAGTTTCTGCTTGCACAAAAACACTCTGAAAGGTGGCTTTGTTAGCTGCTTTGGTTGAAGTAATTTTAAGGCTGATCTTTCAGTTGAAAATATTTTATTACTTAGTTTTTTTTTTTCCTTTTCACGGTTCATGAACTTTGCAGCCACCTCCTTTTTTGACTAATTAAACTGAGCAGTTGTCTGTTGCTACAACTTCTGCCAAACAGCTGTTATTGTTGGGTGGCAAAATAAAGAAAAAACAGAACTAGTCACAGAAATTTGTTATACCCTAAAAATACAGAATAAATAAATGAAATCAGAGAGAGCCCAGTTAGCCTGTGATTTTCATTACTGGTGTGGGTTTAATTATTTAAACCAACAAAGTGGAGTGTCCTGGTGGTGAATAACCGTGAGCAGATGTGCTGACATTGTTCAATACAAATGTGTTTTCTCTCCCTTGGGGGCCTCTAGTCCTGTCACACCCTCTGCGCTGGCCGAGCTTCTCACCCTGCTGGACGGCAAAGTGATTTCCTCATCAGCAGCTAAACAGGTATGTCCCAACTTCCTGAAGCTTCTGACTGCTCCGCTACCCCAGTAAATTTGTATGCGGTAACTAAGTGAATTTCATAATTGATGTATTAAACGTTTCTAAGTGATATTTTTATGCTGAAAGGTAGAAATGTTTTATTTAGCAAGGACTCAGAAAATTTGCTACCTGGGGAAAATAATGAATGTTTGGCTTTGTGCTGAATGTTTCCCCCAAACGTTTGTGTGGAAGGCTGGGCCCTGCAGGTTGTGCGGGCCCTGGCGACACACAGCTCCCCACACCTGTGAGGTCGAGGGTGGCCCCCACACCACTCCCCGGCCTCCTGCCCCCTCTGTGTCCTCTGCAGCCTCCCAGCCGGTACCAGGGGTTCCTTTGTCTTTGTCACAGGGTTGCCCTCTGAAAGTCAGTCCTCCAGCACGGAGGGTGGGTCAGACAGACTGCCGCCCACGTAACGGGTAGAGTTTTACACACATGCCCACTGTGTTGAAAACTCAGAGAAATGGCATCATCTAAGGTGGCCTTCTGCCTCATCTCCGCCTCTGCCTAACAGCCCAAGGTAGGTGAGATGCCTGGAATTCAGAAAGCCCTTACAAATAAGGACCCAGAAAGATAAAGGACACGAGGGCAGCTGCCTGATCTCAACTTCAGATGCCACAGCTGTCAGTGCTTCAGCCAGACATGTAACGTTATTTTAATGGCGCCTTTGCATAGAATACTTACACTCACCGACAGTGGTGGCAGGTCACAAAGTGGGGCTGTGGAAAAGCAGCTGCTTTGGGCTAATTATGAGCTATCATGGAGCACACACTGGGCTCTGGGCTGTGCAATGGAGACACGAACTTGTAACAGCTATTTAGCCACCACCAAGTGATGTTGTCAGCTTAGGGGACCTCAGCACATTTCGGAAAGTATTTTGGTTGCCTGGATGTCAGGGGAATACAGATGCTTATGACAGTGCTCAGTAGTAGAGTACTAGCAGAAAGATTAGATGGCCTGAGGGGAGGAAAACACTATATATATATATATATATATGCACACGTACATAAGAGCAGACGAATTATAGCATTTGAAGTGAAAGAAAAAAAAAAACCTTTCCTTTCCCAACCTTCCTGCTCCACTAAAAAAAAAAGAAAAAAAGAAAAAAAAAACACCATTAAGGAAAAGAAACAAACCTAAGGCAATGAATAAGATAATTCTAGTTCTAGTAGAAAGAAATGGAAGATGCTGACAGCTGGGTTCAGATGTAAAGGCACTTTTGGAGTTCATCAGCTTCCACTGTTTAAAGGCAGGGGGTGAATCCTGGCTTCTGTGAAGCAACAAAAATAAAAGCCTAGTTAGAAAGGTGTTCTGTGTTTGCTGAGAGGGGAATCCCTCTTATTATCATTGCCTTCGGGTTTTTTTTTCTTTTTTCTACTTTTTGTTTTCTGATTTTTAAGAAAATAATTTACTGATTTTCTAGCAAAAATAATATATATTCATTATAAAGAATTTAAGTAATGCAGAAAAATAAAAAGGTTCCCAAATTCGACCACCCAGAAATACCTACCATTAATACTGGGTAAACATCATTCCAGGCATCTATCAATGCACACATGCAGTTAGAAGAATGGATGGATGGAGGATGGATGGGTGGGTGGGTGGATGGATGGGTGGATGGATGGAGGATGGATGGGTGGGTGGATGGATGGATGAATGGAGGATGAATGGGTAGATGGATGATGGATGAATGGATGGATGGATGGATAGGTGGATAGGTGGGTGGATGGGTGGGTGGGTGGAGGATGGATGATATTGGATGGATGGGTGGATGAATGGATGGATGAGTGGGTGGATGGATGGATGGAGGATGGACGGGTGGATGGATGGATGGGTAGGTGGGTGGGTGGATGGATGCAGACAGAAGGTTAAGAGAGATAAAGACTTGAAAATTAGAGGTAATAGTGTTCTTATTTTTTAGTTTTTTTAAAAATTTTATTAATTGTACAATTCAGTGGCTTTTAGTATATTCACACAATCTTGCAATCATCACCACTAATTCCAGGATCTTTTCATCACACCAAAAAAGAAACCTCGCACCCATTCACAGTCACTCCCATCTACCCCTCCACCAGCCCCAGGCCACCGTTAATCTACTTTCACTCTCTATGGATTTGCCTTTTCTGGACATTTAATATAAATGGCTTCATACAACATGTGGCCTTTTAATATATAAATGTTTTTAAGGTCCATCATGTTGTCACATGTATCAGAACTTCATTCCTTTTTATGGCTGAATAACATTCTATTTATGTATATGTAACATCTATTTATGTATATGTAACATCTATTCATCTGTTGATGGACATTTGGATTATATCCACTTCTTGGCTTTTGTGAATAATGCTGGTGTGAACGTTTGTGTACAAGTTTTCATTTGAACATTTTTTTTTTCCATTCTCTTGGGTATATACCTGGGAGTGGCATTGCTGGGCCAATATAATAACTCTGTTTAACCTTTTGAGGACCTGCTAGACTGTTTTCCAAAGCAGCTGCACCATGTTACATTCCCACCAAAAATGTGAGGGTTCTGGTTTCTCCACCTCCACGCCAGTGCTTGTTAATGCCTGTCTTTTTTATTATAGCCATCCTAGTGGTGTGAATAGAGTCCCTGAATGGTGCAGATGGTTAAAGTGCTCAGTGCTGACCAAAAGGTTGTAGTTTTGAGTCCGCCAAGAAGCACTTCGGAACAAAGGCCTGGCAGTCTCTGCTTCCAAAAAATCAGCCATTGAAAATCCTGTGGAGCACAGTTCTGCTCTGACACACATGAGGTCACCATGAGTCAGAATCAACTTGCATCTAATTTTACTTGAATTTAACAGAAGTAAGCCTTGGGTTTTAGAAACCTGTGAGCCAGAGGGGGCTCGAGCCCATGAGAAGGAGTCTGACTGCTAGTTATTGATGCCTCTGACAACTTAGTGTTCTTGGTCTCCCACTGCTGCTGTAACAGGATACCACAAGTGGGTGGCTGTAACGGACAGAAATTTATTTTCTCACAATTTAGGAGGCAAGGAGCCTGAATTCAGGGCACCAGCTCTAGGGGAAATCTTTCTCGCTCTATCCGTTCTGAGGGAAAATCTTTGTCTCCTTTGGCTTCTTCTCTTCCTTCGTTGCTTGGTGCTCTCCACGTGGTACCTATCTTTACCCAATTTGTGCTTGATTGCTTCTGTTCCTAATCTACTCTTTTTATATCTCAAAAGTGATTGGCTTAAGACACACCTTACAGTGGTATGCCTCATTAACATAACAAAGAAACCCCTATTCCCAAACGGGATTACATCAACAAGTATAGGGGTTAGGATTTATAACACATATTTTTCAGGGACACAGTTGAATCCATAACAAGGCCCCATTAGTGATTAGATGACCAGGGTGAAGAAAGTTGACTGAATGACTCCTGGGGATGACAGATCTGCAGAAAGAATCATCCTGTCCTGAGAACATTCTGAATTCCAAAGAATCCCCCACTTTACGTTCTAATTTGTTGTTAATCTGTCTCTGTCGGCCTGCCCCTCCCTTACACTGCTGTTCATTATTTTCCCTCACACACTCCTGCACCTTCCTCTCCTTCTGAGGTTCACAGGCGTCAGCCCCTCAGCACCCCGAGGCGGGGGGTGATTATATGTCAGTGTGAGCGACCTCCTGGTATCTGTAGACAAGTGTCCTAGGTTCCTCTCACAAGTTCCGGTTCTGTCTCTTGAAATAGCAGGTGGCAGTCCCCATCTTCTGCCCTCACCAAGCACAGGGCCAACTTGAACACAGCAGACTCCCAGCCCTCAGTCACAGCTGACTGCCAGGAACACCTCAGAGATTTCCAGCCTGCTGGCCAAAGTCAGGGCTTAAGGGGAAACCACCGCTCAGGGTGTATCTCCTTGTACATGCCTGGAAATAGATGCGTATAGTCCCCATTCTCCAGGGATCCCCGGGTTGATTTCAGTGAGACTGGGTGGGACTGGGCGTCCACAGAGCTGGAAATCTTGTTTTAAGATGAAAGTATGCTGGCTAACCAATTATCTCTTGTTTTAAAGAGAAATCACCAGAAAACTTTTGATGTAGAAAATGTTATATATCATGCAGTAAACTTTGATTTGATGCCTTTTATTCCTCTTTTAGTACTTTAGTTCTTTGCACATTTTACTGTGCCCTGCTACTCTTGGCGGTGGGGGGGTGGGGCAGCTTGGGTTTGTGTTTGTGCCTTCAAGAAGAATGACCTTTCACAATACTTGCTTTTGACAAAAGAGGGGCCCTCCCCCTCTGTCTCTGTCATGGCCCCTCCACCATATTGCTTGAGCAGGTCCTTCTTCCAAACTGTGCTCCAGAGCCCTGTGACAGGCAGGGACAGGTTAGGGCCTGAGTGCTTTCCTACGACATACTTTAAAAATAGCTGTAGCTGCAGAAAACAGTTGGGTAGCAGTCAGGAGGACGGTGTGTGCACTCGGTCCCCACAGAACCAAAGGCTGGGTTTCTTACCCATCTGTCAGAGCTGGCTCAAGTGGCTGCGTGGAAGTGGGGTGGGGTTCCCAGCTTGCTCCCCATCCTTTGGGTGGCCACTCCCCAACCCCGGGCACCAGCTCTGCACTAGAAACCCCGCACCATTTGTGTCTGTCTTTGGTGGGCAGCAGCAGGCCCAGGAGCTGCGCTCCTGACCAGAAACAGCTGCACTTGGATAGCACCTCCCAGGGTGGTGAATAAGGACAGAAAAGCCGAGGACATATGCTGCAGCACCAGGCGTGTGTGAGCATCAAGAGGCCAGGGGGACACTGGAGCCTGGCCTGGACTCCAAGGGGGCTCGAGCCAGGGTGCACGCACCTCCTCTTAGATAGGAATAAGCAGCAGATCAGGCAACTGGAAGGAGTCCCCCAAGCACCCCAGGGAGCTAGCTCTGGGCTGTAGTAGCCACTTTACTAGTTTGCACCATCAGAGAAGTTAATAAGCTGATGTATTCCAACTCTGGGAGTCAAGAACACACCAGCCACCAGACTGCCATTTGTTCCCGGATGCCACTGAAATATGTCTCTCTGGTGTCACTCCTTCGTGTCCTCCGCCCCACTTTCTCAGGGAGCAGCCAACCACTCTGCATTTAAAAGCTCCCTCCATCTCTCGTTGTTGCATCCCCACTACTCTGGTTACTGTGGCCCAGGCACATCCAGCCAGCGCGTGAGCCTGTTGGGTTCCGACTATCCTGGGTCCCCCGCAAAGGCTGACTCAAGTGGCCCACTCGGGGTCTGCTCTGTGCCTTCAGTGCAGCCCCCTAGCGGCCAGGAGAAATGGCCCCATGTCCGAGTGTGCCCCCAGGGACCGCCAGGGCCTGCTTCCAGGCCCCAGCTGCACCGAGCCTAGTCTCCTCCGCAGAGCTCCTCTGCCTCTCCTGTGAACGGAGCTGGGTAGCTTCCTTATGAGCATCCTTGCAGGTGGTTTGTTTTGCACCAGGGTTTGAGATCTCTACGGAGGCTCTTCCTGAATGCTGGACACTTTCATCAAGGAGCTTTTTTAGGAGTCTCTGCAGATAAACAAAGTACACACTGGAAAAAGTCTAAATAGCTGCCAGTAGGAGATAATTAAGGAGCCCTGGAGTCAGAATCAACTCGACAGCAACAGTTTTTTTTAACGGGGGTGGTGCTAACCAAAAGGTGGGCCATTGGAACCCACCAGCCACTCTGCAGGAGAAAGGTGTGGCAGTCTGCTTCCATATGGATTACAGCCTTGGAAACCCTATGGGGGCAGTTCTACTCTGTCCTGTAGGGTCACTATGAATTGGAATCAACTCGATGGCAACAGATTAGGGGATAATTAAATTATGATAAATGCAATTGATGGATATATATTTTATTAATATAATACTTCTGTAATAAGTGAGGGAAAAAGCAGGACACAAATTGTATATACATTATGATCAAAACTATGTTACAAAAAGGAAAAAGATCTGAACAAAACACTAAGGGAATGGAAATACAGGTGATATCTTTTATCTTTTCTGTATTTCCTTATCTTCTACCATAGCTTCAAACCAGTTCCATCTAGTTTGAACCCCTGGTGAGAATTTGCATTTCTAACAAGTTCTCAGGTGATGCTAATGCTGCTGGTTAGGGACCAAGACTGGGAACCACTAGTAGAGCCAAAAAAAAAAAAAAAAAAAAAAAAAAAAAAAAACAAACAAACAAACCCATTGCCGTCAAGTCAATTCTGACTCATAGCAGCCCTATAGGACAGAACAGAACTGTCCCATAGGGTTTCCAAGGGGTGCCTGGTGGATTCGAACTGCCAACCTTTTGATTAACAGCTGTGCACTTAACCACTGCACCACCAGGGTTTCCACTAGTAGAGCAGTGGTTCTCAAAATTTGTTACAGATAACAATCACCTGGGAATCTTGTTAAACTGTAGTTTCTGATTCAGTATATCTGTGGTGGATATGCAAAATTCTGAGCAGGGATTCGAACTAGAACAAACCGGTTCAAAGCCCTGTTTTCTACAGTGAACACATATTAACTTTTATAACTGGATTATGGTGTTGACGAAGAATATTGAACATACCACGGACTGCCAGAGGAACGAACAAATCTGTCTTGGAAAAGGTGCAGCTGGAATGCTCATTAGGGGCAAGGATGGTGAGACTTTGTCTCACATACTTTGATGTTATCAGTTGGGACCAGTCCCTGGAGAAGGACATCATGCTTGGTAAAGTACAGGATCAGCAAAAAAGAGGAAGACCCTCAACAAGATGGATTGACACAGTGGCTGCAACAATGGGTTCAAACATGGCAATGATTGTGAGGATGGCACAGGACCAGGCAGCGTTTCCTTCTGTTGTACATAGGGCCGCTGAGTCGGAATCAACTCCATGGCACCTAATAACAATTGGAAACAATGTTACAAAATTGTAAGAAAAATAAATAGTATCAGGGAAAAGGGGCAGAGATACTCTTCAGAATACTTGTGGGGCAGCTCACTGAGTATAAATCACATTAAAAAGTGTCTTGTTGTCTGTTCATATGCTGCTGACACTCTGTTAGTAAGTCAGCTGATGGCAGGGAAAGTTCTTACCTACCCTATGCCCCTTACTCTTGATGCCTTATGCATTGTCGGGCTCAACACAGTTGATGGATTGAGTTGGAGGCATGTATTTTCCCTGAGGAGCTAGGCTGTGTGGCGGTGTCCAGAGGGGTGCCCGTTGCACACTCAGGACCCACTGAGTACACATCCTTGGCCACGTTCACTGGCATGCTCTGAGGAGCTGAGCTGCAGGCACAGTGCCTGTCACGTCATAGCCACAATACATAACTGTAGTTTGTTTTGATTCCGATGGGGGGAAAGAAACTTGAGCCTTGCTAAGACTCAGAGCATCTTCCCTTCATTTGCTTTGCTGTGTCTGCTAATTATTGACAAGCTCTGTTTGTCTGGGAGGAGCGGCCCCTGGCTGGCAGGTCCTCTGCCCCAATGGCAATAGAGGAGCGCAGTGTTCAGTGATGACTGCAGGCAAGAGGAAGGACAACAGGGAGCCACACCCCCAATGCCAGCTTACACTGGAACAACAGGAGTGAGGAAAACAACCACCCAGGAAATGCCTCCCTTAAAAATGTTTTATTTTCCAAGTTTGATCAGATTTGGGATTTGTTGTTGTCATCGTCATTTTTTAGGTAGAAAAATACATACATCATTAACTGTTAATTATCCTCATCAGATTCAGGTCCAGCTCTACCTGTAGGGGATAAGTGTGGTAGGCCAGGAGCTCTGTGGAGTGTAATTTATGTTTTTCGTGATTTTCCCAGCAGGCTGAGATCTCTAGACTTCACCTAAGTGCAGAGGTTCCCTCCTGCAGCCTGGGTGACCCTATCCTTTACCAAAATGTCACCTCGATTAATTAATTCAGTGGACGTAAGACAGCGCCATCTCTGGCCTCTCACTCGGGGCCCTGTGAGTAATCATCCTCTCCACACCCGCCGAGCAGCCTCCTGTGTTGGGGGGCCGAGGCGAGGACCCAACATCGCTCAGGCACGGTGGCCCTCAGGCACAGTTGGCCTCAGGCACGGTGGGCTCCAGGGGAGACAGCGCCCAGCGGGGCAGCGCCGTGCCCTTTCCCCTCAGGCCGGCCCGCACAGCTGGACACTAAACTGAATCTGCTCCTTCCTGCCCAGGGTCCCCGTCACTGCAGGGGAAGGAGCTGACTCCTGGCTTCTCCCTTCCCCTCCTCTGGCCTGTAGGTGTTTGAGGAGCTGTGGAAGAGTAAAAGCAAGACTGCAGCACAGATCGTTTCAGAAAAGAAACTGGAGCTGATGGAGGATCGGGAGGCGCTGGAGCAGCTCTGCCAGGCTGTCATGGAGGGACATCCTCAAGTGGTGACTATCATTCGAGGCGAGGGTGCACGGGAGAGAGGGTCCCCTCTCTGACTAGCAGAGGACCAGGGCCGCCTGCCTGCAGGGCCCAACAGCTGGCCAGGCCTGAGGACACAGCCCAGAGGCTCGTCCTAGCAACGGCTGGCCCAGCTTCATCAGTAATTCCCTAATTATTTTTGTCGGCTTTTCAGTTAAGGTCAGAAGAGATGAAATTAGGTAAATACTGGGAAAATGCAGTTTCTTTTCCTGTAAGGAAATTCCACCCTGGAGTTTAGTCTGCATGGCGCCACCATTTAAAAGGGTGCGATCAAGCCAGGAGGTCCAAGTCGTGACCTCCCAGGCGTGTCGCCCTCCCCCAGGTGGGCACTTTGAATCCGTGTAGCTAGTCCAGTGCACCTTCCTAAAGAGGACCTTTCAATAATAACCCAGCAGGCAGGGCTGCAGAGTAGGGAAAAGATAGGGCAACACTTCAGCTTCATGCCTTTAAGAGGCGGGAAGAAAGGCAGAGAGGAAAATTATTTGTAAATTACGGAGAAAATCCTTGACAGCAGCATGGCTTGAAAACCAAGTCATTTTGTGTCTGAGCAGAGCACAAAATAGAAAAGCCAAAATGAGGCACAGCCCTCCCTCCCCACGCCTAATCATATTGTCTGGAGATAGTTTTCAGTGGGGAAAAAAATTGCTAGCGCCTTTTTCAGAATAATACCCACCCACCCATCAGCTTGCCGGGGACACTAACAGCTCTATAAAGAGCTCTTGATAAGGAAAATGAGCTTGCACCGGGGCTTGGCTGTCTCCATCTTCCCGCCATCTGTAGTGACTGATAAAGGAACACTTAGTTTCAGACTCCTTCCGGCCAGCGCGGATACGCGCAGACATTACTGCAGATCACCCGCAGAGCGGGAGGTCGCCGGCGGGCGGGCCCTCGCGGCCTTGTGTGAATTTACTCGATAGGAATTCAGCGCCTCCTGTCTTCCTCACGCCCACCCTGTCCGCCATGGCGCACCTCCGCCCCGGTGCTGTGGAAGAGTTTCCATCTATAGATTTGGATTTTCATAAATGGATCCTACTGGCAGGGGAGGGGAGGAGAGCCGTGCCTTCCCGGTGGCTGGAGTCAGAGCTTCGCCTTCACTCTGCTCAGACCTGATAATTCACCTCCGAGACGTGAGCCAGTCAGAGGGCCGAGAAGCGCCGTGTCATGGTGTCGCCGCGGTGCCCAGGAGAAGACGGCCCTGTCCTTGTGCCAGCTTCCCTAGCTGCAGGTAGTCACGCGTTAGACATCCGAGTTCTCCTCGTGCTCGTTTTAATCAGAAGGCGGAGCAGCAGACATCCCCTCCGGCCGGGGCCTGGCAACCTCATTGTCAGCCCCCCCCCCTTTTTCCTTTCCCCATCTTGTATCTCGTGCTGACCGAAGAAACTGCATTTAATGTTCAGTAAACCTAACCTTTAGGATTTTTTGGTATGCATCTGCTTATTGTCTCCTCTTTAAACAATTTCTATCTTTAAAGGCAATGGACGTGAAGAAGGGAAACCTCAAAGCTATAAATAAACTGATTGGGCTGGTCCGAAAAGCAACTCAAGGCCGAGCAGATCCAACTGTGATAAAGAAAATACTGGAGGAGAAGCTGTCGTCATGAGTTACTCTGGTCTCTTCCCCGAGTGAGAGAACGGTGCAGCCGTGACTGGGAACAGTAGCCTGTGACAGCGGAGGTCTACCTGCTCTCCCGTGCTGGAGTCCCTGTCCACCCCACTCAGCCCAGGGCCTGACCCACTAATTCTCTACCTCTTACGGTCTGGGTGTTGGGATGCTGCCTCCACAGGAGACACGCCCTGTTTGCTGTACTGACATCAAGATGGTTCAATGAGAGCTGCAGCCAGAGGCTAATAGCAAATTCCAGTATTTATTAATTCCAAACTAAATAAAACATACTGTTTCAAATACTGTTACCATTCTTAAGAAAGCTTTTCTCCCAGCAATTCATTCAACAAATATTTTTGGATACTTGTTCTAGGTACTGGGATTGGCAGTAACCCAGACAGATGGTAATCTGGATACAGTGTTTTTAGATCCAAAAATAGGCTGATGAAGATGAAAACACAATAATAAGCACAGAGTAAACACTAGTTTGTTTGGGTGTGGAGGGGCTCATGAGGGCCAGGATGAAGGATGGGACCAAAGGAATAGTAATCATCCAGCTACTGCGTGAAAGGGGTACTGCCCCTTCAGCTCCCTAAGGAACCGAGGTAGCATAGGTCTGAGAATAAATGTTTCGTTTTTTTGGTAAAAAAGACAACAAAAGTTTTCAAATAAATTTAATGAATAAAATACATACTGAAATATCACATAAAAAAATTAACTTACACTTCAAAGATTGTGCAGTTGACAACCCACCCACCCTATCCTTGGGCCAAAAAAGAGAAGAAGAAAAAACCTGTAACATTAAATTGTTTTGTCTGGAAAGAATAAAATTATAAGCTAGTATACCCTGATCTATAACAATCACCCCAGTGCAGTGAACAAGTATGGCTATGCAGGCTGAGTGGACTTCGCACCTGTTTTCTCAACGGTAACACTATTTTCTCTCTGTTGCGCTGCTGCGCCCTTGTCCACTGTGCCTCCGTTTCCTCTTATCCACAGCTCTTACTTCAAAGACCTGTTTTGTAAATGCTGTTTCTTAAAAGCACACGCCAAGTAAACTGTGGCACAAGCAAGAGAACAGACTCTTTGAAGGCCCTGATTTTAAACTCTTGAGTTCTCTAGCTTACCAAGGAGGACAGTGAAAACATTTCTGTCGTGAACATTGCTCTGGCGGCACCAGGGGAATTGGAGAAAAGTGAAGCCCTCCCCTGCAATTTAGCAATTACTGGTTCCTGGTTGTGGACAATGGTTATGGCTTCCCTGAGTGGAGAGAAGTGTCCCTCTGACCCAGCCAGGAAAGTGAGAGGGAAAGGAAATTTGTTTTGTGGTTCACTTTTCAGACAAACATGAGGAAGTAACCTTTAAAAAAAAAAAATAGGTTTAATTAGTGACTTTGAATTGTAAGCGAATACGTCTTGTTGCCCAGGAAGCCATGTGCCCTGCATTGTGTTGCAATACTGAGAATTACCAGGCCTGAAAGCAAAAAGCGCCCTTGCTTTCTTTGAGAGAAAGGCAGTGTTCTCCCGCCTCCCTCCACAGGCCTCTGAATTACAAAGGGGCGGGTGGAGAAGGTCTGAGATTGGAATCTGGTGGAATCTTTTCTTTGTAAGAAATAAGAAGGTTCAGTTTTGTTTTATAAATGCCATTTTCACCAAAGGTTCTGGCTTCTTGGCCAGTCAAGCCTTCTAGAAAGCACTGGAGGATCTTTCCAGACCACTTTAAGTGCTTACTTAAACGGGGATGCGGCCAGATGAAGACAGTTTACCAAAACAACTACATCAAGTGTAAACTATACTACGGACTGATCATTCCCAGAGAAAACTGCCATTGTTAAAACACCTGATCTTTAAAGTGCTAATTCTTGCCCAGATATGACCATAGCCTTTTGTCTTGAATGCCAAGTTCTGAAATTCTTGAAAACCAGACTGTTATGTTGATAGAACTGCTACTAGAAAAAAAACAAAGCACAGCTCGCCGTCTTACTTGAAGCCTGACTAGATATTTGAAAAGTATGTTTACATAACACCCTAAGAAATTCACAAAGTATGGCTCTGCTGGTAAATGGGCCTCAGTGAAGTACAATTTTAAATATGTTCTTACATGAGTGTGAATTTAGTCTGCTTCTGTGTTTGCTATTCAGGGGAAATCTCATTAAAATGTATGAGTTCGCGCCATAGGTGAAGCCACTGCCTCTGGCATTGGAATCCACACACCTGTAGGCTGGATGTGTGGCAATGAGCTCTCACTGGGGAAGGAATGTGCCAGAAAACTGGCTCCCCCAGCCCCACCTGCACCAGCCCAGCCCAGTCAGGCCCAAGCGTGTATTCTGCTGCTTGAGGAGGAGGTTGGTGGGCTGGTGTGTCCTGATGGGGAAGGCAGGGCGTCATCTCCAGCACTCAGCACACTGCCAGGCACAGAGGAAGTAGTCAGTAAATGTTCCTTTAATTTATAAAACGAAATCAATGGAAAGCCTCCGTGGGGACTCTCTTTTTTGTAAGAGGACTGGTGCTGCCCGCAAGGCTTTCAAATCCTGGGTCATTTGGGTCAAGGAAGAAGCTACTTGTCTCTGTCCAGGCACTTACATCACAGTGAAATTCTGTTCCCATCTTTCAAGATGTGAGATGGCCCAAGAAAGGAAATCAGGTTATTTATTATACCAAGGTAAGGATGTTTCAGCTGACCGCCCCACCCCCAACCACCATTTTTTTTTGGTGGTTACTGGAAATCTGGAAGAAGGGTATGAAATTTATGAAAGTATGCCATATGCCATATTTGTGTGTACCCTCCCTCTGAGCTGGTTAATTCAGTATATAGTTTATGGCCATGACTCACAATTTCTATTGTGATTTTCATTTTCTTTTGAATTTAGCTCCATTGTTTCAAAGATTCTACATACTGACTATTAAAAAAAAAAAATTAAGTCTACCTGAAAGGCCATGTTATCTACCAATTACCAGAGGCAGCGCTGAAATGGTCACCTCAGCAGGTTGTGGACAAACGGACTCGTGGATCATTGTGAACAGAGTCAACACTAGACTGAGAGATGGAGAGCATTTGGTTGAAACCCTTTCTCGCTACCTCCCTTGGTCAAACAACTTAGCAAATACCAGTTAAGGTAAGATGGTCAACATCAAATTCCCTCTTTTAACATATCTGCAGAGCAAAAAGGGGCCGGGTTATAGGTGGGCCTTTGGAAGACCTGTCCCAATAAAAAGTCTGCTGACGTACAGAGAAGCACAGACTTCTGCAGCCTCAGCTGCATCACCCTATCATGTTCTGAAATGATACAGTAAATCTAAACTCTCCAAAAGATGCCGAAACACATATCGAACTCAAGCAGATGAGACCTACTGCTAGGTGGGTGACAGGTTAACTTGCATCTTGTTAAGACAGGGACAAAATCCACTCACCTGAAGGAATAGGAAGAGCCAGCCCTAACTAAAATCAGTTATCAGTTGTAGGATTCTGAGTGCAAGGGGCGAAAGACCTTGTCCTGGCCCTTCTTTCCCCCACAGAGCCTTGCTGAAAATCTCCCACTGAAGCCCTGTTGTTGATCCAGCTGATTAGCTGCCAGGATAATCCATCCTCCAAAACAAGTACTGGCCTTATAAATGCCTGAATGTGCAGAGGATTTACTGAGGCAAATTATTCCGAAAACAATTCTGAGTCTTCTGAGGGCTCTTTCTAAAGCATTAGTTTTATGATGGTCATTCAAAAAAAAGTCAACTCCATTGGCTTTTTGAAATGTTTTCTCAATGATGTGATTTAAGGGTGAGGTAAAACTGGTTTGACAGTGGTCTGTGTTAAGCTGCTATTTGATGGAGAATTGTTGGTGTGTGATTTATAGACTAACGGCTGGCTTGAGAAGGGGCCTGGGAATATCCTCTTAATGACCTAAAGCCAGTGTCCTCAGCGACAGGAGGACTGCTTTCCCAGGAAGAGCTAATACTGCAAAGCTGGCTGAGATTCGCAGCAGACCACCACATCACCCTGGCCTGGGCCAGTGACTTGAAGCAGCCTGTGCAATAACAGCTGTCCTGCAATAGAATGTTTCATAAAAATGGCAAGCATGACAGCCATTTCAATACATACAGGGCTGGTAATTAGTGATTAAGTAAACTGGCCTTAAATGAGAACTGAAGTGTATGCTGTGGAACCAACAACTGCAGCCATTTGACATTACAGCAGTGACACGTCCCACTCCTGCTAGGGCAGTCCTTCCTTAATGAAAGCAGCCTAGACACACTTCCTGGTTCAGAATGGGCATGCATCCACAACCCAAACCTCTAAACAGATGTGGAGGTCTACCCGCATGACCACTGCAGCCAGGCTGTTCCAGAGACACTGACAAAAACGTTCAACCACCACCACCACTGGCTGCCCGAACTCAACAGGCAACCCACGCATCCTATTCCTGGTTTCTGACTATAAGGAGATGTGATCCTGACAACACGCTGGCCCCATGGTGTCTTAATGGATCAAAACCCAACAACTATACCTGACCTACAGAAACACATCCTGCGAGGGAAAGGCACCCCTGAGGACTCCTAAGTGAACTGAACACATCCTTCCTACACAACACAGACATCAACTCCAACCCAGCATGTCAAAATAGTTTCCAAAATAATGCTGAGAAAAATGGGGACAGTTCTTCTGAACACCAGGGAAAGGAAGAATCAAATGACAAGGAAAATCACATCTCTAATTAGGTATTCCAGCGTCCCTATTTCATGGCTGGGAGATAATTTACTCCATGGAACTATGTTTTAGGTCAAACCTAACCTGGAATTTGAGTAAAAATTTTTAAATATTTACTTGGCCATTTCCAAAAGTCAATTTTATATACCCCAGCACTCTCATATACCCTAAGCCACAAAATTCACTCAGTCTAGAACTCTAAATCGGACCCTGACCTAGGAGTGGAGGTTAGGTTTGTGTTTGGGAACCTGGATTAGCCCTCGCTGCCCAGCATCATCAAGCTGCACCTAAGAGTTTGTGTCCACTGCTTCCCTTTTCCCTAGGTTCTTCCAGCAAGTAACCCAGCAACCAGGGTGGGAGCCTGTCATATGGAAAAATGTCCACAGTCTTGGATCACATTTTTAAGCATGCCAAAGATGTTTAAAAAAAAAAAATTTTTTTTCCCCAAATTTTCTAAGGGCCTCACCTATTTAGTTTAGGACTGGACCATTCTATTTCATTACCAAGATTTTCTTCCCACCAAGGAGTTCCCATCGTCACAGGCTGCTGGGCAGTATCTTCTTGTCCGCCTGAATCAACGTTCAGTCCCCCAGTCTGTCTGTCATCTTCCTCAGGCATATGTCCTCAGCCATCCTTACCTAACCCAATCTGCTATTCCATTCAGCCGTGTGGGTGTCCCAGTTCTCTTTTAGTCAGTTTTCTGACTCTATTTTACAAAACCCTGGACATAGCACTCTAGAAGAGAGCTTCAATGGATTTAGAAACATGAGCCAGTTGGTCCCAATTCCAAACAGAAAGTGAGGAAGAGTTATCATGTGAGTTTGCTACCAATACCCACCCTCCCAATAGGAAGTTAAATTCTCCCGCCTCTCACCCCAGACATTAAGTCTACTTCAATACCTGTTAAAATAAATAAATAAATAATAAGATGCACAAAATCAGTTTTTTCCCCAAAAGGCACTTTCTCCAAAGGGGACCACGGTGTTCTGTAACAAAGCAGCACGGATTCAAGAACAATCTACGTCACCACCAAGTAGTGGACAGGGGGTGTAAATAAAACCAAACACCTAGAGAATACAGTTTTTGGGTGTGATTTTAGCATTTTATGTACCTGGTAAGTCCAAACAGGAAGACAAACACTTGGGCAAAACAAAGCAAGAGGATAATAAATAAGAGCTTAAATTTCATCTTTGACTGTTCCCCTCTCTCTACCTTAATCTACCTTCTTTTCTAATAGAGGATTGTGGGCTGTGCAAACACAACCAGACATTGGGAGGCTGACAGGAGGCCAGTCAGCTGGGCATCATACATTCTGGCTGCTGCATCACAGCTGGGCAAACCAGTTTTCATGACAAATTTGAAGTCAGAAATGTGCAGTGAACTGCTATCTTTGGTTCCTTGTCTGGACTCAGAAACACTGCTAAACTCGCTCCTAAGAGCTCACTCAGCCAGGTCAGGTCTCCTGGTATCTTTATTCCATGGCTTGGCTCTTTCTCCCACAATACACAGCTGCCTCAAGATCCCTGAAACACAAAAGGGCCAGCTTTTGCTCAGCCACGTCTCTTGGGCTCCGGAGAAGGTGATGGTCAGCTCCCAGACCACAGTTGCCCCTCGGGCTCAGCAGTGATGCCCACAGAGCAAGCAGAACACGGGGCCTTCCAATTTCCCTCCTGAACAGCGAGGCGCATCCCTGTTACCCGCTTCTCACCTGCAGAACTGGGCCCAAAACAGAAGGCAGTGGAATTTAACATCCATAAATATCAGTTGCGTATGGTCTCCTTTTCAGCTGGCAGTTATTCTGTGTGTTTCCCCTCTTGGTGGTGGTTTAAGGAGACTGGCTCTAAGTATGATTAAGCCTCGTGGAGCAGCTGAGATGCACTAACACATCAAGGCAGCCTTCTAATGAACTCTATTACTCAGAAGGCTGACTTCCCAGGTGGTGGGCACTTGGCTTTGCAGAGCTCCCTGCGACGTGTCTGCAACTGCATCAGCTCCCAGAGAGGGCTGGACAGTACCTGCTTCCCTACAAAGTGCAACACATTAGCAAAAGCAGACAGAATCACCAGTGTTTTTCACAGGTTGCATTAAGTTTACCTTTATCCTTTCTCTCCACTTCACCCTCCTCCCATCCCAAAGAAACTACCACAGAAGAGCTTCACAAGTCAATCTGTTTGTTTTCAGGAAACTTACAAAGTAACTATGGTTGTTTCCTTACATAAGGATATGATACCATGCTTTCTTCATTTTATCAAACTCCTAAAAACCAGAGTAACAGTTTGCATAGGTATGCTTGATTTTGTGCAAATCTTACTAAAATAAGGCTATCTTCAGTGTTTAGGTAGTGATAATCCAATTAAAGAAAGCTCTCAAGAAACAAGAAAAATTCCCTGCATTCCAAATTCTCTCCAAAACAACATCTGACTTCCCAGGCAGCTAGTGGAAATCAGTGGATTTGCCTGCACCATAAGGCAACACATACTGGACAGAATATGAGTCCTGGGAGGAAAAGTCCGAGGTTGTGTGATGAAGGCAAGAGAGGCTGGGCTACCCATCCCTAGTCTTCCCTTCTATAAAACGGCAGCCAAATGCGGAAGCACCAGGAGCAGGTGTGTGGGATGCAGATGTGTACTCTTCACGCACTGCTGAAGAGCCAGCTGTGGACACAGGCACTTCTAGAATCACCGAACCCTGATATTCACAGGTACGGTGTGAACTGCAAGACGAGTGACAGAGGGGGACGGAAAAGAACAACCAAAAAATGTAAGGAGGAAGAGAAAGCCTGCCTAGGGAGCAATCAGCTTATGAGACTTACATTCTATATAACATAAGGTGGAAAGACACGGCTAGACAGGAGATATGAAGAAAATTTCTCCCCCAAATCAAGTATTGTCAGGAAACAGCAAAGTAGAAATTTCTGTAAGCAGCTTTGCATTTAACATTCAGTCAAAACACTAAAACCTTATAAAACAAGAGCATCTACTTAAAAAAAAAAAAGCTAACAGCAGGAGTCCTCAAAGTCCCCCAGGATCTTGTAGCACAGAATGGAGTGTTCCTGGGCCAAGGCTGCCAGCTCCTTCAGAAACTCTGGGAAGAGGGCAGCAGCCAGCATGGTGTTCCTCACCGGCAGGGGCAGGTTTGGGGGCGCCCCAGCCACCTTGGCTCTGTTGGTCAAGAAGGGCTGAAGCACTCTTGGGGGATCATCCAAAAGGTTCCTACCAGTGTCTGTCCAGGAAGCATTTTGAATGGGATCTGAAACCAGAAACAAAAATTGTCATCGAGGCCTTCCATAGCCCTTTACTTACTTCGACCCTTTTCAGTGGAAAGTGCGTGTGCGTGCGTGCGGTGGGGGGCGGGTGGGGGGTGATTCCTAGTCACGGGTTCAGTTCCTGTAACTGACTGAGGTCTGAAGACATGGCCCTTGGGCACACACCTTGTTTCACGCACTCACCCCAGAAGATTAACCTCCAGCACAGGGCATGTGACATGAGGGTTTCATCCAAATCCTATATAAGGAACGTCATGCAGAAACTACAGCAAGAAGGTAGGTTTATCGAGAACCGGCATGTGGGGAGGGGAAGGAAATGAAAAAGTCATCTCCTGCCCCTGGCTCAACCAAGTTAGGATGTAGCTCACCAGGAAGGTTATTTAGGGATGCCCAGAGGCTCCACCTACTCTCCCAAACTCCTCACGTGGCACAGCTACAGGAGAAGGCTGGGTTAACGAGCCCCCCCAGCTCTCTGCAGCTCACACCCTGGCCCCTGGGCTGCAGGGTGACTCCCTCCCCTCTCCTTCGGGTCAGGGCTTACAGCTTTTATGGAGAAGAAAGTGGAAGAAGCCTTTGTTTTATTTTTTTAAGTTTGCCCTGAAGCCTCTGAATGCTGGAAATAATGTAGAGGAAGTTGGGTGCTGGTAAGATCAGACTGAGAACTCCCCACAACTACAGGACTCTAGCAACAGCAAATGGCTTACATGCCTCCATTTAAGGAGCATTTCCAGGGGTTTCAACCTCAGTTTAAATAACACAGGTCTAAAATGACATAAGCCCAAACTTTAACATATTCAAGTGATTTGCATTTTCATATCAAATCAGTTTCACTAATAAATAGTCAGGGAAGTTGAACTATTTTAAATTCCTGAACATCTCCAGCCATCATATATTTGTAGGAACTGCTTATGCCTTCTTCTGTCCCTACCCAAACAGTCTCATTATTCCACAGAAATCATCATATTCAAGTTCTTCATTATTCTGGCTGCTTTTTGGAATTCAGTCCCATTTTTCAACACTCATCTCAGAGTAAGAAGCTAGCTACAGTGCTAAAAATTCGTGACATTTATAGTATTTTCCACCGCACACTACTATAGTCTTTAGTGTTAAAAGAAAATCTTCCATTTTACTGCTTTAAATACCATATTAAGTAAATTAAAGCTTATCACAGTTCATGCCATAAAGAACAGGAAAAGCTGAGAATCTGTCTGCTGCTACCTTTCAGCAAAAACAGCATGCCCTGACAACGGAGTGAAGACAACAGTGTTGTTGTTACTAAGGTATGCTGTCAACTTTGGAGACCACCCTGCCCCCCCCCCCCCCGCCCTCAAGCACTGCAGCTCTCCAAGGGGCCCAGCAGAGCTCACAAAGGAAGCTGATCTGGATGCCAGTGGACAGTGGTTGGAGTCCTGGTGGCACAGTGGTTAAGCGTTCGGCTGCTCACCAAAAGGTCGGCAGTTTGAATCCACCAGCCTCTCCTTGGAAACCCTATGGGGCTTATCTACGCTGTCCTATAGGGTCGTTATGAGTCGAAATTGACTCGGCGGCAACGGGTTTGGGTTTTTTTGGTTTAGGGGCAGTGGTTAAGCACTCGGCCACTAACCAGAAGGTCAGCAATTCAAACCCACCAGCCGCTGCATGGGAGACAGATGTGGCAGTCTGCTTCAATGAAGATTATAGCCTTGGAAGCCCTATGGGGCAGTTCTACTCTGTCCTATAGGGTCGCTGTGAGTCAGAATTGACTGGACAGCAATGGGTTTAGTTTTCTTTAGTTTGAGGAGTGAAATTCTCCTAGGCACTAACTCTAGACTTAAGACCTGCCATTGTTTATGCCGGTTCCTCCACCTGGGATCCCCTCGCCATATATCTGTACCCGTAAGTCTTACTAGCTTAAGGGGCACTCCGTACACAAACTCTGCCACGTACTGGCTGAGTAACCTCAGGCAACTTGCTTTACTTTTGTGTGCTTCGATTTCTTCATCTGTCAAAAGCTCATAGGTTATTGTAAGGATTAAATAAGTCAATAAGTATAAAGTACACAGTGACCTCTTGATAAGTGTCAACAATCATCATCATCATCATCAATTCAGTTGCCACTGACTTCACACAGCATTTCCCTAGAAATAATTCCTGTTCTAAGCTCCCACCCCATTTTACCCCACTGCAGACTGGCACTGTTTATATTTTCTCTCCTCTACCAGCCTTTGAGCTTTTGGAAGACTGAGCCCCTATCTGATAATGTGTCCTTCACACCTCCTAACACAGTCCCTACTGATAGCAGCAGCTAATAAACACTTGTTGAATGACTGAGTGACAGAACCAACCACAAAAGGTCTTCCCTACTTCTGATACTTGCTGGAGGTGGCTCATCTTCATCATTCCTCATCTTCATCTTTCTCTTTCAAATTCACTCCTCCTCCTCCTCCTCTACCCCAAAAAGCGTTTTTTAGTGGTTCATTTATGTAGTTTCAATCCATGAATAAAAAGTGTCATCACTAAGTCTCATTTATCCAGCCTGAATCCAAAAACTGAAATCGTCTCCACTGAGGCAGGAGAACACCCAGTGAGGGAGACCAAGGACTTGCAGGTGAATCCTAAAGCAGTTCCATCAGCGGCTGGGGCATAGCAACATGGGCTCACCTCCGGAGTGTTGGCCTTTCACTGTATGACGAAGTACCATCAAGCTCTTGATTCAAAGTCAAGGAGACCAAGTTATGGTTCCTACTGACAACCAGCTCATGGTAGGTTGTTGTTATTAGGTGCCGCTGAGTTGGTTCTGACTCATAGTGACCCTGTGTACAACAGAACGAAACACTGCCCAGTCCTGCACCTTCTTCACAATCGTTATGCGTGAGCCCATTGTTGTAGCCACTGTGTCAGTCCATCTCATTGAGGGTCTCCCTCTTTTTCACTGACCTTCTACTTTATCAAGCATGATGTCCTTCTCTAGGGACAGATTTCTCCTGATAATATGTCCAAAGAATGTGACACAAAGTCTCACCATCCTTGCTTCCAAGGAGCAATCTGGCTGTACTTCTTCCAAGACAGATTTGTTCATTCTTTTGGCAGTCCATGGTATATTCAACATTCTTTGCCGACACCATTAATTCAAAGGCATCAATTCTTCTTCAGTCTTCCTTATTCATTGTCCAGCTCTCGCATGCATATGAGGCAACTGAAAACACCATGGCTTGGGTCAGCCGCACCTTAGTCTTCCAGGTGACATCTTTGCTTTTTAATACTTTAAAGAGGTCTTTTGCAGCATATTTGCCCAATGCTATGCATCATTTGATTTCCTGACTGCTGCTTCCATAGGTGTTGATTGTGGATCCAAGTAAAATGAAATCCTTGACGACTTCAATCTTTTCTCTGTTTATCATGATGTTGCTTATTGGTCCAGTTGTGAGGATTTCTGTTTTCTTTATGTTGAGGTGCAATCCATACTGAAGGCTATAGTCTTTGATCTTCATCAGTAAGTGCTTCAAGTCCTCTTCACTTTCAGCAAGCAAGGTTGTGTCATCTGCATAATGCAGGTTGTTAATGAATCTTCTTCCAATCCTGATGCCCCATTCTTCACATAGTCCAGCTTCTCGGATTATTTGTTCAGCATACAGATTGAATAAGTATTATGAAAGGATACAACCCTGATGCATACCTTTCCTGACTTTAAACCACACAGTATCCCCTTGTTCTGTTCGAGCAACTGCCTCTTGACCTATGTACAGGTTCCTCACGAGCACAATTAAATGTTCTGGAATTTTCATTCTCTGCAATGTTATCTATAATTTGTTATGATCCACACAGTCAAAATGCCTTTGCATAGTCAATAAAAAGGCTTATGGTGTAACTTCTCAGTTTCCTTCTCTGTATAATGGGGATAACAGGTGCCTGGCCTCCCTTCCAGAGTTAGAAAGCAGTGAAAGTGCTCTGAATAGGAGTAAATACAAGCAACTGTTACTCTGTGGTTAGGAAGGTATTTGAGGGGAAAAATAAAAGCCTGACAAGTGGCTTAACCTCAGAGATCAACAGTCTCAAGAAAGATAATGTGACAGCTTGCACAGGATTCACCTGCTCTGGAGTGGCAGTCACAGTGACACCTACTTCTGCTTGAAGCATTAGTGAGAAGGCTTGTTTGTACTGGGGCTGCCAGAAGGCAAAGGGAATGTGGGGGCTGCGCAGCAGAGCAGCTCGGGCTGCAGGTGCCTGAGTTACACCCACACAGAAGGGCTCAACAAGTGCACACAAACACCGGAGGAAAAGGCAGGGAGGGGGGGAAATAGAAATAAATGTCAGCAGCAGGAATGGCTTTCTGAAATGTTGCCCTGGGTCTGAGAAACTGCAACAGAAGGTTTTCCAGGCTAATACCGGGAAGATTTCAGAAGTTAGGAGAGAATTACATTACACACTCATTATCTTGTTAGCAGTGTTAGGCAAAGGGCACAGCACACAAGACAATGGAAACCGAAACACTTGGCCCATTAGCATAACTCTCAGTGGTAGAACTGCTCTGTGTCCCAGTGAGGACAGGGCTCCCAGACTCGACTCACTCACGGCCATCCCATCATCCTCAATGCATAGGAAGTCAGCTTTTACAAGGCGACAGGAACCTTTCTCACTCTCTAATTGTGAAGGTTTTTAAAGTTGGAGGGAAGATGTCACTTTGCTAACCTGAAAGAAGTTAGAAAGTTAATCTGAGAAACTCAATTAAAAGGAAAGTCTTCTATCCCAAGAGAAGCTTCCTACAAGTCAAAGTCCCCTGAGTGTCAGAGACCCTAAAACCATCGACCGCAGTTAACTACTCTGACAACTGTATGAGTTGGGAAACCATTCCCCTGGGCACATCTCTGGCAACCGTGGCTGTCAGTCTGAAGCCAGGGCAGAGCACAAGGTGCAAATGAGCCCACCCCTCCCACGCCACCACCCCTCAGTCTCCCTGAGCGTGCTGGCTACGGCTCAGTGCACAGTGCTGTCAAGGAAGCCCAGGAGGTGGGCCAGCGTATATGTGTGTGTGTGCGCATGTGTGTGCGTTGGCATCCGTGTGTGCATGCGTGCATGTATCTGCGTGTGCGCATGTGTGTGTGTGCGTCTGTGTGTGCGTGCACGCATGCTCATGTGTCTGTGTGCGTGCGTGTGGGCATGTCTGCGTGCACGTATCTGTGTGCATGAGCGTGTGTGTGCGTGCGTGCACGTCTGTGTGCGTGCATGGACGCACGTGCGTGTGTGTGTATGTGTGCGTATCTATGTGTATCAGGCAGGGCCATCTTGCTTGCTTCAGGATCCTGCCTCACTACCCTGGGCCTCCTGCTCCATCTTCCTCATCTGAAAATGAAGCAAACAGTACTTTCTTGCCCATTTCACAGTGTTGTTTGAAAATTGATTGCCTGAGAAAGCACTTCACAAACTATAAAATACAAATGAAAACCAAGCCTGGAGTACAATGTAAGGTCTCCTGTATGTTGTTAGGTGCCGTCGAGTCAACTCCAACTCCTAGTGACCTTACAGTGACGAAACGTTGCCCAGTCCTGCGCCATCCTCACAATTGTTGCTGTTTGAGCTCGTTGTTGCAGCCGCTGTGTCAATCCATCTTCTGTACGGTAGACTGCAAAACTGGCCATTCTTGCAGCTCTTCCCACCAAGAGGTGGGGCTTGTGCTCCCTTCTTGAATCTGGGCTGGCCCTGTGACTTGCTTTGGCCAACAGACACAGCAGAGCTGACTTTGTGTGGGCCCCAAGCCTAAGCCTCAGAAGATTCTGTATGCTTCTGCTCTCGCTCTGGAACCCTACAGCTGTGATACTGACACGCCTAAGCTAACCACTGCATGACGAGAAGCACATACACCCATTATCCCCATCACCCCAGCCAACAGCCAGAGATGTGAGTGAGAGCATCCTACACCTCCAGCCACCCGCTGATGGCAGACACACCAGGGAGTCCGGCCAAGATCAGCCCGGCCTGGGCCAGATCAGCGGAACCACTCAGCTAACCACATGGACTCAGGAGCAATCATAAATGGCTTTATTTTAAGCTGCTGAGTTTTTGCGTGGTGTGTTATACACAAAAGATAACTGACGAACCTTCTCCCCGAGGCTGGGTGACCACGCTCCCTGTTCAGAAGGAATGCAGCTAACAGACTGACTGTCCACGTGGTTAGCAGAGGCCAGGTGCAGCCCACCTTCCCTGCAAGAAGTGGGGACTTCTTTCTCCCCATGAATGGCCTTGCCTACTGAAGCCTAACAGCTGCCCCGCCCCGCCCAATTTTACCAGTGGCACAAGGCCCACCTTTCTTTCAGAATCTGACCGTGGTGCCCTAAGAGTACATCACACCCAGAGTTCCAGAGAGATGGAGAGCAAAGCCTGTAGTTAAGAGTCAAAGGACCTGAGGCCCAGCAAGGCAACATGACCAAGACCACACAGCTACACAGAGGCAGGGTCAAGCCTTTCGAGTTCTCGGTTCTTTTTAGCTTCTTTGAAAGGTTTGAAAACTGCCCCAAGTCACATGCCTGTAGCCTACTCCCAACCCTGTTTCTGAGCATGTGTCTGGAGCCCAGGATGGAGAGCCCCAGTCTCTCCATTGCTCACCTGCCACAAGAAGCCTGACTTGTCCGTGTGGGGTAAGTAAGAGCTAGGGCAATATAGGGCATTTTGTAGTTTGTGCTCACCAAGGCCTAAGTCACAGCTCAGAAGACAACAGGTTGGTCATCAATCCATTCAACCGAGCTTCACTGAGGCAGAGCCATGGGCTCCAGGCCTGGCCAGCTGGCAGGCCCACCCCTAGCTCTCCCCGCAGCACCGACCCCCAACCCTCCCCACCGCTCCACCAGAGCCCTATCTCACCACCTCCTCTAAAATGGAATAAAGGCTCTCTCAGGAATTTTAGGCTGAGCATAAACTTTACTTTCCCCAGGCCAACTGAGCAGTTTTTACCTCCTAGAGCCCTAAAGCACATCTATTTTTGGCCTAAAAACATAATAAAGAAAACGGACGTCCTCTTCAGGGTCGGGCTGGCCAAAAGATGGCTTGGGTGTACACAAAATGCCTCTTTCTAGCTGAGTTACTTACTTCTAGCCTAATGATAACCCACATATCAGCCCCTTCCTTAAACCACTCTAAGGAAAATAAAGCCCTCTAGATCCTTCAGAGTGGGGACAAATCAGGTGTGGCCGTTGTGGGCAGGTTCTTCAGACCTTTCCTTACATTTAAGAACACTAATAGTAGGCCCCTTCCTGTTGGGTGAAAATGAAAATAGATTCTTCCAGACCCCAGGAACCAGTGCAGATTTGTGAACCCAAACAAGATACCCAAATGAGGAGGTGGGGCAATAGAGGAGGAGCCGTTTAAGGAGAGACACAATCGGAAAACCTCAGTTACCTTTGGTTAGTGACTCAGGGTCCGTATCAGACATGTCCACTCGGAAGAGCAGGTATTGCTGGGCTTGTATGAGGAGTCCTGGGAAATCTCTCTCCACAGAAGCAAACTGTTCAATTTTGTTTTTCACAGATGCAAGGACCTGTCAAAACCAATATTAATGATGTTAATGCTTCACAACGGAATCCCATCCCCAGTTATCAATATATCTTTCAGATGCAGCCCTCATTGCAGGAATTATTATGATATTAGGCATTTGCTCATTTTTAACTGCCTTGGTGTTCTTGGTAGGGCACCCTCAAAACATTAAAATAAATGAAGCTTTGCAGTTTGTCTAGAATAATCTACACAAGCAGCTTAATAGGACAAATGAATTAGAACAGAGGAATTTTTTTTCAAAACAACAAAATAACAAGGGGAAGGAAGAAAGGAGCCCAGCAAATTAGCACCCACGAAGTCAACAGGCTGGACGTGGGCCCAGCTAACGTACCTGATAGAGAGAGCGTACACTTGGCTGGAAGACCACGTTGGTATTGAGCAGAAAAGAGCGCAGGAGCGGCTGGGGGTAGCTGGCTAGCTGAGTGATGATCCCAATAAGCAGCAAATTAACATGCAACGAGTTCTCCAGCATGTTTTCCAGCTTTGACAGGACCACGCTGATGAATGGGCCTGAAGAAGGAACACAAGGCTTCAGGGCTGGCTGGGCACACCAGGTCATCTTTCCTTGATAACCAAGGAGCCACTGGAGCCACAGCGTCCAAATCACTGCAGGCCACGCGGTACAAACCCAGACACTCAAATACAGCCAGGTCTTCTCCTGCCTCAGAACAAAAACAAAAACAAACCACCCCCACAAAAAGAAAGCAGAAAGATTGAACAGGAGCTATTATTTTGACTCCTTGAATAGTTTTAATACTCTAAAAATTATCAGATTGAAAAAAATCAGACCGTAAATAATTTAATGTTTAAAAATTAAAATATACTTCCCCACAGTTTCTGCATTTCTTGCGGCTGCCAGTGCTCAAAAACATGACATGCATCATCTCACGATGCTGTGTACTATAGGGCTTTATACAAACCCTAACCAAAAAAAAAAAACCATTGCTATTGGGTTGATTCCAACTCATAGCGACCCTACAGGACAGAGTACAACTGCCCCATTGGGTTTCCAAAGCTAGAATCTTTAGGGAAGCAGACTGCCACACTTTTCTCCTGCGGAGCAGCTGGTGGGTTTGAACCACCAACCTTTCGGTTAGCAGCCGAGCACTTAAACACTGAGCCACCAGGGTTCCTTATACTAACATTAGAGGCCATCAAAAATTTTGGTAACACAAAAATCTTTGTGTTATTAAACAATACCAAACACATACAAACTAAGTTTACCGATCAGCAACACTGTGAATAGTAATTTTCTGTCCCAAACAAGAACCCTGAGAAAGATTCTGCTGTGTCAAGTGTCACAATGTGGAAGAATGGGGAGAAAGACAAGGTGTGAGTAAAGCCCTGGGCTGTAACACTGGTAGCCCTAGACAACTAGTAACCACACTTTAAGATTAGAATGAAAGGACTCAATTTTGGAAGCTATAGTTTGGCATCTCATGGGTTCCTTAAAAAACAAAATCTACCTGACTACAAAAGCAGTTCCTTAAAAAAAATTAGGCAAGAAGGAGCTTCTCCTAATGTGGGTTGCTAGAAAATTAATATGGTTTATGTTTGAGTTCACTGAAGGTGGGGAAAATCAAGAAAAAAAAATCTGGCATTAAAAAAGTTACTTGTAGAAGTTTTAGATTTTTACCATAAAAGTGTTCCATGAAGCAAAATCAATGAGGATTTTCTATTTCCCCTGGTGGAGCTACTGATGACACCACTAAACCACAGCATATTTGTAACAAAAAGGTTACAACCCTTGATAAATGAACATGCCTTATAAAGACTTCACCAACATTAAATATGAGTTTAACAAAAGCATACTTCATCACAAGATGCTTCACTCAGAAGCCCTGAAAGTGTAACAGAGTAAAACCCTTCACAAGAAAACTGAAGATATCGATAAGAAATGGAAACACCAAACCTAAACCTTTTACCAACACAGGCAAATGACAGAGTATTGGCAGTATTCTTATCTCTGAGAACACAGAGGATGCCCTAAGGGGTCTCAAAATACCAGAATGGCACCATGCCCCCCGTGGAGAGTCTTCATCTGCTTAACCCCAACTTCGCCGTCCTCGGGATGGGTGGCAGAGCTTCTCAGTCGTTCTCCATGACACAGGAGGCCAATGAACTCTTCAACTAGAGAGCCCTTGGAAAAGTTTACAAAACTGGAAAGTTTGCCAAATACATTCACAAGGTCCAGGCTAGAACCCCAGTGTGAAAGCAACTAATGGTTTTCCCATCAAGCACACCAGAAATGCCACTGGTGACTCTTTTAAAGGCATCACAATTCTGGCCTTCCACGTGGATCTACAGGGAAAACGCTGCTTCCCCTCACCCTCCTCAACCCTGGACTCAGCCCTTCCCAACTTTCTCTCACCCAGAGCAGTCCCTGGCTCTGCATCTATTTCTTCCTAAAGAGAACATAGCCGGGTGAATCAAGACATATTTAGGTAGGCAGAGTCTTCTATAAAACTTATGTCCTGAATGTAATCCCTCAACTGCCCTTCCACTTGCCCTAGACTGTACTTGGCCTTGCCCACGCAGTCACTAGGGGGAACTATCTCCAGTCCACGACCACCACAAGGAGCAAAAAAAAACCTTGAACCCTGTGCCCTGTGGAAAGTAGGGCTATATCACATTTTCTCACTTAAATGACAGAATAATCGGTCAGGTCAAGATCAGCAGACTGTCATTATAATCCACTAGTGACTGTCATAATCCACCACACATCTGTCAGTTTGTCATACTGTGGTGGCTTGCGTGTTACTGTGATATTGGAAGCTCTGCCACCAGTATTTCAAATACCAGCAGAGTCACCCTTGGTACACAGATTTCAGTGGAGCTTCCAGACTAAGACAGACTAGGAAGAAGGACATGGCAGTCTACTTCTGAAAAAACTGGCCAGTGAAAACCTTATGAATAGCAGCAGAACACAGTCTGATATAGTGCCGGAAGATGAGCCCCTCAGGTTGGAAGGCATTCAAAATACGACCGGGGAAGAGCTGTCTCTTCAAAGTTGAGTTGTCCTTAATGATGTGGATGGAGTCAAGCTTTTGGGACCTTCATTTGCTGATGTGGCACAACTCAAAAATGAGAAGAAACAGCTGCAAACATCCATTAATAATCGGAACATGGAATGTATGAAGTATGAATCTAGGAATATTGGAAGTCATCAAAAATAAAATGGAACTCATAAAGATTGATATCCTAAGCATTAGTGAGCTGAAACAGACTGGTATTGGCCATTGTGAATCAGACAATCATATGGTCTACTACGCCGGGGAAGACAAATTGAAGAGGAATGGTGTAGCGTTCATTGTTAAAAAGAACATTTCAAGATCTGTCCTGAAGTACAACACTGTCAGTGATAGGATACTATCCATATGCCTACAAGGAAGACCAATTAATACAACTATTATTCAAATTTACACACCAACCACTAACGGCAAACATGAGGAACTTGAAGATTTTTGCCAACTTCTGCAGTCTGAAATTGATCAAACATGCAATCAAGATGCATTGATAATTACTGGTGATTGGAATGCAAAAGTTGGAAACAAAGAAGAGGGATCAGTAATTGGAAAATATGGCCTTGGTGACAGACAACACTGGAGATCACGATAGAATATATTCTGGAGGCTGCCCCATATCAGCACATATAGAGCTGCCTCATTCTTCTCAGGGCCACAAAACATTCAACTGGTATGGGTGTTGCATGAGGAAACTAGTCTCCTACCAGTGGGCATTTGGGTTGTTCCGAGTCGTTTTCTATTATAAACAATGCGGCAATGGACATCCTTGTATATACATCTTGGCACAAAAATATGAAAATAGCTTGTGAACATGTTCCTAGAAACAACATTACCAGATGAAAGAGTTGGTGCATTCTGAATTCTGCTAAGCCTACAAGAGTCTCTGACTTCATCTCCCTGACACCAACTTTCCTCACTACCCAAGGATAACTCTTTCAAACACAGATCCAGTCACATTACTCCCTAATTTTAAAACTTCACTGCCAAGGGCATAAGGACCCCATTCCTCACCTTGGCCCAAAGACCCCCCAAAGCTGGCATCAACCAATTTTTCTGGCCTCTTGATCCACCTCTCTGCCCACATGATCCATGTTCTCGACATGTTCCTTGTCGAGGTCTCCTCTGAACGTCTGTGAATTCCTTCATTTTTATGTCCTTAGTACCTAGTATAAAACCAAATCAAACCCTATAGGACTCAAAGCGACCCTACAGGACAGAGTAGAACTGCCCCATAAGCTTTCCAAGGCTGTAATCTTTACGGAAGCAGACTGCCACATCTTTCCTCCCACAGAGCGGCTGGTGGCTTTGAGCCACCAACATTTTGGTTAGCAGCTGAGCACTTAACCACTCTACCACCAGGGCTCCTTAGTACCTAGTATAAAACCAAAACCAAACCCACTGCCATCCAGTCGATTCCAACTCATAGCAACCCTACAGGACAGAGCAGAACTAACCCATAGGGTTTCCAAGGAGCGGCTGGTAGATCCAAACCGCCAACCTTTTGGTTAGCAGCCTGAGTTCTTAACCACTGCGCCATGAGGGCCTCAATAGCACTTGCCAAATACTAGGTTATCAATAAAAGATTACTGAATACATGAATAAATTTTTAAAAATAGACAAATTGAATACTTTGATTTTGCTGGGAAGCAAATTCATCCTACTGGAAATGTGGATTCTCCAAAGAGAAGGACGTTAAGCCTATTGCCACAGAACACTCTCAGAAATTTACAAACTACAAAGCTCATATACATGGAAAGAAAAAAGATGTTTCCTGAAGCTGTGTACACGTTTCAAAGGAGGAAAAAAGTATGGTTTTAGGTAAAATTATGTATATGTATCAAAGAATCACATTATGTTTCATCAGTTCTCAGGTGTATCACATGCAAAATACTGTTATTTAATAAGGTGCTGTCTTAGCTTGTTTTTTTTTTTTTTTTGCCCTAAGCTATGCTTTGTTTCTTCAATTTACATATTTCTCAGGGATGAATCTCTTTTATAAGAAAGCTGGCATTCTAAAGAACAGTATTCATTAGTCATGGGTAGCCTTGCTGGCCTACAAGAACACCACAGGACAAAGCTTGGCATTTCCTGCTGGGTGAGAGTAAACGGGGCAAGCCTTAGGCAAAATCCCTGGGTGGTGCAAATGGTTAACACACTCAGCTGCTAACTGAAAGGTTGGAGATTTGTGTCTACCCAAAGGCTACTCAGAAGAAAGGCCTGGCAAGCTACTTCTGAAAAATCATCCACTGAAAACCCTACAGAACGCAGTTCTATTCTGACACACAAAGGTCGCCTTGAGTTGGAATCAGCTTGATGAGAACTGGTGGTGGTGCTAGGTTACCCCTGCTGTGACTGAGCCCTGCCCCCTCCTCCAGTCGGCCAGGGTCCTTCTCCCCCTCCCTCATCCCGTTTCATCTACAGGGAAAGACAAGATTACCTAATCCTTTTTACTTATGATCGACTGACTGATTGAATGCTAATTAAAACTCCTTCACACTGAAATGTCATCTCAACTAGAACCTCAAGCCCTTTAACTGTGGAATTAAAAGCTTTCTCCCTGTTTAAATAAATTTTCAGGCATCAGTAAATAGACGAATAAATATTGGGAGAAGAGGGTAAAAGAGCTCCTTGAAATCACGTTAGGCCTACTTGGCTGGACTGGAAGGTAATCTGAGTTAACCTAGTCTGGATGATCCAAGGCAGTGGGAGCACGGTCCCCTCCCATGCTGCCCGTAAAAGCAATCACAATGACCTCCATGATCTCTCATTTGGTCCTCACAGAAGCACACAGCAGGTCGGAGATCCCAATCCCGGTGATTAATGAGCCTGGAGCCAGGACTCACCACAGGCCTGACTCCTAGGCCACTGTCTGTCCCTCTGGGTCTGTCACTAGCTCCTTCTAGGACCTCTCCCTGCTACCTGAACACCATTCAGGGTCCCACTCCCACCTGCCCTGATTGTAATGAACCCTCTGCACCAAGATCTGCAGCTTCAGATGTTATGGGTAATAATAATGATGCTTTCTATGATAAATTCCTCACCCCAACCCACTTATCTGATATCCTACCCTGTCCGTTTGCTTCTTACAGAATGTCTACCCGTTGCTGGGGGTGTATCACTGGAATGCACCTATGCTGTAGTAGAGTTATGAGTTCATGGGGGTCCAATCTATTTATTGTTGAATAAAGATTTTGTGATGATCTGAAATGAGCTCTAAGGCAAAGGCACAGCTCCCCCCGGTGGACTGCTGGAGTAGGTGCACAGTTACATCCATTCAACAAGCATTTACTGAGCACCTACTATGTGCTCTGTTCACTGTTCTGGTGCTGAGGACAGAGCAGAGAACAAACCAGCATCTCTGTCCTCATTCTAGTGGAGGAAAAGACATTGATTTTTTAAAAATACACCTTAAAAATAAGTGCTACCAAGAAAAATAAATTAGACTATAAGGAAATGAAACTAGTAAATAATCAGACTGGATTTCTAGGGCTTAAATCGGCCCTATTAATCACAGACAGACCAAGGGAAGTTACTAAACAGTAAAATTTAGACCCTAATTTGCTGAACAAACAAGACAATCACTGCAAGAATGACAAAATAAAATTAAACTAAAACTACTTCTCTTTGCTCTTTACAAAAATATTTTTTCCTACATTAAACACTTATATACATCAAAAGACTTCACCAAAAAAGTAAAAAGAAAACCCACAGACTGGGAAAAAACTTTAGGACATTACAAGTCAGACAAAGGTCTAATCTCTAAAACCTATAAGAAAATCCAACACCTCTACAACAAAAAAACAAATAATCCAATTAAAAAATGGGCAAAGGAAATGAACAGACACTTCACCAAAGAAGACATTCAAGTGGCCAACGGACACATGAGGAAATGCTCGAGATCACTAGCCATTAGAGAAATGCAAATTAAAACCACAATGAGATACCATCTCACCCCGGCATTACTGGCAAGAATCAAAAAAACAGAAAATAACAAATGTTGGAGAGGCTACCAGGAGATTGGAACTCTTATGCACTGCTGGTGGGAATGCAACATGATACAATCATTTTGGAAAACGATATGGCTCTTCCTTAGAAAGCTAGAAATAGAAATACCGTATGATCCAGCAATCCCATTCCTAGGAATATATCCTAGAGAAATAAGAGCCGTCACACAAACAGACATATGCACACCTATGTTCATGGCAGCATTGTTCACAATAGCAAAAAGATGGAAACAACCTAGAAGACCATCAACAGACGAATGGATAAACAAACGACGGTACATACACATAATAGTGTACTATGCAACGAGAAAAAACAATGATGAATCTGTGAAGCATCTCAAAACATGGATGAAACTGGAGGACATTATGCTGAGTGAAGTAAGTCAATCACAAAAGGACAAATATTGTATGAAACTACTACTGTAAAAACTCATGAAAAGGTTTACACACAAAAAGAAACAATCTTTGTTGGTTACGAGGGATAGGAGGGGTGAGGAGGAATACTAAATAGACAATAGATAAGTGGTAACTTTGGTGAAGGGTAAGAAAGTACACAATACTGGGGAGGCCAGCACAACTTGTACAAGGAAAGGTCATGGAAGCTCCAGAGACACATCCAAACTCCCTGAGGGACCGAATTGCTGGGCAGAGGGCTGTGGGGACCATGGTCTCAGGGAACATCTAGCTCAACTGGCATAACACAGTTTATAAAGAAAACGTTCTACATTCTACCTTGGTGAGCAGTGTCTGGGGTCTTAAAAGCCTGTAAGCAGCCATCTAAGATACTCCTCTGGTCTCACCCCTTTGGGAGCAAGGGAGAATGAAGAAAACAAGATACATGGGAAAGATAAGTCCAAAGGACTAATGGACCACAACTACCATGGCCTCCACCAGACTGGGTCCAGTACAACTAGATGGTGGCCGGCTACCACCACTGACTGCTCTGACTGGGATCACAACAGAGGGTCCCCGACAGAGCTGGAGAAAAATGGAGAACAAAATTCTAACTCACAAAAAAAGACCAGACTTACTGGCCTGAGAGAGACTGGAGAAACCCTGAGAGTATGGCCCCTGGACACCTTTTTATCTCAGTAATGAAGTCGTTCATTCCCAAGGTACACTCTTCAGCCAAAGATTAGACAGCCCCATAAAACAAAATGAGTGTAATGGGGCACAACAGTCCAGGGACAAGGACTAGAAGGCAGGAGGGGACAGGAAAGCTGGTAATAGGGAACCCAAGGTCGAGAAGGGAGAATGTTGACATGTCGTGGGGTTGTTAACCATTGTCATAAGACAGTATGTGTACTGTTTAATGAGATACTATTTGTTCTGTAAACCTTCATCTAAAGTATAATAAAAATATATATACTTTTTCCCCCTTAGGTAAATTGATAATGCTCCCTACATCCACTTACCTTACTTTCCTGTCCCAAAATGTACAAACACTTTCAAAAGCAGAAATCACAAAGCAATTTAAGATAGTCACCTGTGAACGGGGCACTCTGAGTCCTCACTTGGTGACTGGCAAAGGCAGTCTCATCTCTTGCCCCAAATGGGGAAGGCACGGTCTCTGCAGTAGGAGTTTCTGCCATGAAAGAGTCAAAGTCATCCTCGTCCTCGTCTAGCCCCTTCTTCCCCTCCTCCTCTTCCTCCTCCTCTTCTTCTTTGCTCTCTTCTCCCTTCCTCTCTCCCTCCTTTGTGAGAAGCAGAGGATCAGGGGTGGGGAAATTCTGCTCTATCAAGCCCTCTGTGCCAGAATCCAGTTCTTTAATGATTTGGTCATACTGGGCAATGAAATCTTCGCTCTCTGGGTTAACAACAGTCAGACTTGCGCTGTGCTCTGCCTCAGAGACAGGGGGCGTTAACTCCGAGTTTGATTCTGGGGCCACTACTTCAGGATCATTCTCTTGTGCTGTTTCCTTGGATACAGTCTGAAACAAGTTCATGTTATCCCTATTATGTTCCTCCCCTGAATCTGTTTCTGGCTGGGGGCTGGGAAGGGGGCAGTTGTTCATGGGAGCACCCTGATCCTCAGTCTGGGCTTTGGCTGATGCCCCTGCAGTCTCCTCCTGAGAATTTCTGGTGTCCTCACAGTCCTTCTCAGCACACAACCTGTATACCATGACATCGTCCTGGAAGTCTGACTCTTCAATGTAGGACCCTTTGAAGAGCAGGATGGCATTCTTCTTCATCTCCTGGATGTGTTTGGGGGGACTAATGGGCACCGGGGGACCGGAATTGTCCATAGACTCATAAGGCCCGGGGGAGGTCACGTCAGCCCCTGAGGAGATTCCAGTGTCGTAGCTGTCATCCCACTCCAGCTCTGTCTGGCTTTTCTCCTTTCCGGGAGCCGAATGAGACTCCATCTTACTGGGGAATGGATGCTGGAGCCTCAACACAGGGTAGGCTGAGTCCCTACTGCCTTCCTCTGAGAGGCCCTGGAGGAAAGTCTCGTGGTTGGGGGACTCGCCGTCGTACAGGGCGGACCAGGTGCGGCAGGCCTTCATGCAGCGGAGGATGTTGGTGTGGGCCTCCCAGAGGTACTGCAGGTAGCTGATGTCCAGGGCCTTCCCATATTCCACAATGCAGGCCGACGGAGAGAACGCCTCGGGGGGCTGCTGATCCGTGGGCCCTGCAGGAGAAAGCAGGAACACGTCAGCAACAAGACCCTTCCTGACACTTAAGAGACGTGTGGGCACAAATGGAGAGGATGGGATGTGACTCACTCGGCTTCTAAGGCTTTGTCTCACCAGCTATACTGCTTCCAACAATGTCTGATTAAATGATTTTGAAATAAAAATGGTTAGATTTTAAAAAGAAAAGACAGGAACAGAAACTCTGCTCTAAGAGAAGATAGGAATCCTTGAGTGGTACAAATGGTTAATGTGCTCAGCTGCTAACTGAAAGGTTGACAGTTAAAGTCCACTCAGAGGTGCCCTGGAAGACAGGCCTGGCAATCTACTTCTGAAAAATTAGCCATTGGAAACCCTAGGGAGCACAATTCTACTCTGACACAGATGTGGTCGCCAAAAATTGGCATGGCAACTAGTAGTATGGAAGTTAAAAAAAAAAACAATATGGCCAGTCAGATACAGCAGATACAGGCTACAGCCAACACAAATTGTTTTTTGGTATCAGTCAATTAGAGAAATAAGAGCTAATAATGGCAACCTTGCAGGCTGTTGAGAGGATTAAATTAGGTACTATACCTAATATAGTACCTGCCATGGCATAGGTAGTGATTAAAAAGAGCTTTAATTTGACTCTAAGGTAGAAGGCCTGTAATCCATCAATTTGGGACACTCTGTTGGGAGCTGAGTTTTCTCTAGAAAAACCCTGGGTTTTTAGTAAAGACTATGAACTCATTCTGCCTATCGGGGGACTATTGGGATGTTGGTAAGTATAAAATGATCTCTTACAGTAAAGTCATATTCAATACCAAAATAGTCCTTTCAACCTAAAAATGTTCCTGTATTACCAGTTACCTCTGACTGCCTTTGATGTTAAAAGTTCTCAACCTTATCACTGAAATAACTATGAAAACACCTGCATTTAAGTTTACACTCTCCCTAAAAGAAAGCACTAAGACAGGGAATAATATATACTCTGTTGTTGTTTTTGTTAGCTGCCGCTGAGTTGACCCTGACTCATGGTGACCCAGTGTGTGTCAGAGTAGAACTATGTGCTCCATAGGGTTTTCAAGGCTGTGACCTTTCGGAAGCAGATCACAAACAAACCTATTGCCATCAAGTCAATTCCAACACATACTGACCCTATAGGACAGAGTAGAACTGCCCCATAGGGTTTCCATGGTTGTAATCTTTACTGGAGCAGATTTCCAGGTCTTTTCTCCCACTGCTGGTGGGTTCAAACTGCTAACCTTCACTGGTTAGCAGTCAAACACTTAACCACTGCACTACCAGGGCTCCTCGTCTATATACTCTTCCATCTCTTAAATACCTACTATGTGGCAGTGCTTCATCGATGCTATCTAATTTTACTCTCACAACAATTGTATATGGTAGATATTTAATTTCCTCATTTACAGATAAAGAAATAGAGACCCTGGAACAAAAGATCACCCATTCAATAGTAGAACTACAACTCAAACAGACTGTCTCACATCAACCCCTGTTCTTATTTCCAATGCCACATCTTTGCAAGCCTCTAAATCTCTACCAGACTGGCTCCAGATTTTAGCCTTTAAGAGGTATACACATTTTCAGGTCATTAGTGTGGATATAATTCATTTTTACAGCTCTACTGCTAAAAGGCTATATGTTTTATCTGCTTTTTAAAAAAGCTATCATATGATATCAAGACTGATACCAAATAACACCAAAAGACATTAAAAAAAAATACTTACTACATGCCAGGCAGTCTTCTAAGAGCTTACACGTCTTAACTCACTTATCCTTGGAACAACACGTTGAAGTAGGTACTATTTTACAGATGTGGGAACAGGTTTAGAAAGGTTAAGTAATTTGCCCAAGAAAGTGGCAGAGCCATGATTCAGAATCCTAGCTGTCTTTTAACCACTGCACAATAATTACATTATTTATCTACCCATCCATTCATCACGGTACTTGTCCTCTGTAATGAAACCCCAAGAGCCCTGGTGGCATAGCGGTTAAACACTTGGCTACTAACTGAAAGGCTGGTGGTTCGAATCCACCAGTTGCTCCACGGGAGAAAGATGTCACAGTCTGTTTCTGGAAAGATTTACAGCCTTGGAAACCCTCTGGGGAAGTTCTACCTTGTCCTATAGGACTGCTATGATTCAGAATCCACTCGACAGCAACAGATTTGGTTTAAGTCAACTCCAGAGGCAGTAGGGCAGAAAAAACATGTAATTTGGAATCAGAGAACTTTCCAGCTGTGTAACCTTGAACAAGTTAATTCCACTCTCTGAGTTTGCTTCTTCGTCTGTAAAATGGGAACACTATCTTCTTCAACAGATTAAATGTGTTAACACAGGGAAAGGATTTGGCAAGTTGTGGACACACAACAATCCTAGACTTCACCTGAAGTCTGAACTCTGAGGCAAGGTGAAAACCACAGAATCATTCTTGAAACAATTTTTTTTAAAAAAATAGTAAACAAAAAAGACATCAACTTTCAGATATGTTTTTAAAAAATAACTATTGGATAGGAAAATATAACACTAGCTTACTAACAGGAAAATACAATTAAAATACAGTTTGTTATACTGCCAAATAAAGTCATTAATTTCCATGCATACACTGTATCTTTACACAAAGATCAAGAATCAATAAGAAAACCTTAATTTCTAAGAAAATACTTATACCAAATATGCTGATAATTTTCTCAGTCAAGTAGCCAGCTGTTAAATATATTTTATATAAGAAGACTGTAGTACTCTGGATGAACTGAAAGACATTGTTTGGAGGATATTAGAATAGAGAGTGGAAACATGAGTCCACACCAGGCCTGACCATTTATTTCCTAGTGGTCACAGGAAAAAAATATCTTCTTGAACCGAAACAGCCATTTTACCGCCAAAGATACACAGAAAGTTCCAGTTCACTGCCAGAGAGCCAAAGTTGTTGTTGTTGTTGTTAGATGCCATCGAGTCGGTTCTGACTCATAGCGACCCTATGCACAACAGAATGAAACACTGCCCAATCCTGCGCCATCCTCACAATCATCATTATGCTTGAGCCCATTGTTGTAGCCACTATGTCAATCCATTTCGTTGAGGGTTGTCTTAGGCTGGGTTCTCTAGAGAAGCAAAACGAGTAAAGCATGTAAATATATATACAGAGAGATTTATATCAAGGAAACAATTCACGCGACCGTAGAGACTAGAACGTCCCAAGTCCATCCCAATTCATACAGCTGTGGAAGCTGGCGAACCCAAGGTCAGCAGATTGGAGAGTAGGGCTCCCACTCACAGGCTGTGAAGGTCAACGAATTCCAAAATCAGCAGACAAGATTGCAAGGTTTCTCCTGATTCACGTAGCTGCAGAGGCTGGCAAACCCAAGATCAGCAGGTCGGGGAACAGGACTCCTGCTCGCAGGCTATGAAGATCGACAAATTCCAAGACTGACAGGCAAGCCGCTAGCTCAAGTCCCAAGAACCAGAGGTGAGATGACAAGAGGCAGCTGCAGGGTCTGGAACAAGCCAAAAACCTTGGCAAGGATAGCAGGAAGAAACGAGTCTTTGGAGGTGGAGGGCAGAGAGGTGAAGGCTGAGGGGGTGGTCAGCCGCCACAGGCCCCACCCCTGCTGGTACCACTCAGCAGATTCCATCATGGGGGTGATTGCATATCAAATTTCAGCAGGGAAGTGATCACATTATACAACTGCCAAAACACTGGGAATCATGGTCTAGCCAAGTAGACACACAATCTTAACCATCCCAAGGGTCCTCCTCTTTTTTTGCTGACCTTCTACTTTACCAAGCATGATGTTCTTCTCCAGGGACTTGTCCCTCCTGATAACATCTCCAAAGTACGTGAGACGAAGTCTCGCCACCCTCACTTCCAAGGAACATTCTGGTTGTATTTCTTCCGAGACACATTTGTTCGTTCTTTTGGCAGTCCATGGTATATTCAATATTCTTCGCCCAAACCGTAATTCAAAGGTGTTAATTCTTCAGTCTTCCTTATTCATTGTCCAGTTTTTGCATGCATATGAGGCAACTGAAAACACCATGGCTTGAGTCAGGCACACCTTAGTCTTCAAGGTGACATGTTTCTTTTTAATACCTCAAAGAGATCTTTTGCAGCAGATCTGCTCAATGCAAAGCGTCGTTTGATTTCTTGACTGCTGCTTCCATGGGTGTTGATTATGAATCCAAGTACAATGAAATCCTTGATAACTTCAATCTTTTCTCCGTTTATCATGATATTGCTTATTGGTCCAGTTGTGAGGATTTTTGTTTTCTTTATGTTGAGGTGCAATCCATACTGAAGGCTGTAGTCTTTGATCTTCATCAGTAAGTGCTTCAAAGTCCTCTTCACTTTTGGCAAGCAAGGCTGTGTCATCTGCATATTGCAAGTCCTTAATGAGTCTTCCTCCAATCCTGATGTCCCATTCTTTTTCATACAGTCCAGCTTCTAAGATTATTTGCTCAGCATACAGATTGAATAAGTATGGTGAAAGGATACAACCCTGACGCATACTTTTCCTGACTTTAAACCACACAGGATCCCCTTGCTCTGTTCTAACAATTGCCTCTTGATCTATGTACAAGTTCTTCATGAGCACAATTAAGTGTTCTGGGATTCTCATTCTACACAATGTTATCCATAATCTATTGTGATCCACACAGTTGAATGCCTTTGCATAGTCAATGAAACACAGGTAAACATCTTTCTGGTATTCTCTGCTTTCAGCCAGGATCCATCTGGCATCAACAATGATATCCCTCATTCCACATCCTCTTTTGAATCTGGCTTGAATTTCTGGCAGTTCCCTGTCGATGTACTGCTGCAGCCGTTTTTGAATGATCTGCAGCAAAATTTTACTTGTGTTATGATATTAATGATATTGTCCAATAACTTCTGCATTTTTGGATCACCTTTCTTGGGAATAGGCATAAATATGGATCTCTTCCAGTCAGTTGGCCAGGAAGCACAGACGAGTGAGCACTTCCAGCACTGCATCCGTTTGTTGAAACATCTCAATTGGTATTCCATCAATTCCTGAAGCCTTGTTTTTCGCCAATGCCTTCAGTGTAGCCTAGACTTTTTCCTTCAGTACCATCAGTTCCTGATCATCTGCTACCTCCTGAAATGGTAACATCGACCAATTCTTTTTGGTATAGTGATTCTGTGTATTCCTTCCATCTTCTTTTGATGCTTCCCGTTTAATATTTTCCCCGTAGAATCCTTCAGGATTGCAACTCAAGGCTTGAATTTTTTCTTCAGTTCTTTCAGCTTGAGAAATACTATGTGTGTTCTTCCCTTTCGGTTTTCTAACTCCAGATCTTTTCACATGTCATTATAATACTTTACTTTGTCTTCTTGAGCCACCCTTTGAAATCTTCTGTTCAGCTCTTTTACTTCATCATTTCTTCCTTTTGCTTTAGCTACTCAACATTTGAGAGCAAATTTCAGAGTCTCTTCGGACATCCATTTTGGTCTTTTCTTTCTTTCCAGTCTTTTTAATGAGCTCTTGGTTTCTTGCTGTATGATGTCCTTGATGTCATCCCACAACTCATCTGGTCTTTGGTTATTATTGCTCAACACGTCAAATCTATTCTTGTAATGGTCTCTAAATTCAAGTGGGATATACTCAAGGTCATACTTTGGCTTTCGTGGACTTGTTCTAATTTTCTTCATCTTCAGCTTAAACTTGCATATAGCAATTAATGCCCTGTTCCACAGTCAGCCCCTGGCCTTGTTCTGACTGATGGTATTGAGCTTTTCCCTTTTCTCTTTCCACAGATGTAGCTGATTTGACTCCTGTGTAGTTCATCTGGCGAGATCCACATGTATAGTAGCCATTTATGTTGTTGAAAAAAGGTATTTGCAATAAAGAAGTTGTTGGTCTTGCAAAATTCTATCATGCAATCTCTGGCATCATTTTCCAGCTACTGAGCCTTCTTCATTTCCAACTTTTGCATTCCAATCACCAGTAATTATCAATGCATCCTGATTGCATGTTTGATCAATTTCAGACTGCAGAAGTTGGTAAACATTTTCAATTTCTTCTTCTTTGACCTTGATGATTGGTGTGTAAATTTGAATAATACTTGTATTAACTGGTCTTCCTTGTAGATGTATGGATATTATCCTATCACTGACAGCGCTGTACTTCAGGAGAGATCTTGAAATGTTCTTTTTGACAACGAATGCAACACCATTCCTCTTCAAACTGTCATTCCTGGCATAGTAGACCATATGACTGTCCAACTCAAAATGGCCAATACCAGTTCATTTCAGCTCACTAATGCCTAGGATATCTATCTTTATGCATTCCACTTTTGACGATTTCCAATTTTCCTAGATTCATACTTCGTACATTCCACATTTCGATTATTAATGGATGTTTGCAGCTGTTTCTTCTCATTTTGAGTCATGCCACATTAGCAAATGAAGGTCCCAAAAGCTTGACTCCACCCATGTCATTAACATCGACACTACTTTGAGGAGGCAGCTCTTCCCCAGTCATCTTTTGAGTGCCTTCCAACCAGAGGGGCTCATCTGTATCACACAATGTTCCACTGCTATTCATAAGGTTTTCACTGGCTAATTATTTTCAGAAGTAGACCACCAAGTACTTCTTCCTAGTCTGTCTTAGTCTGAAACTCAGCTGAAACCTGTCCACCATGGGTGACCCTGCTGGTATTTGAATACTGGTGGCATAGCTTCCAGCATTACAGCAACGTGCAAGCCCCCACAGTAACAGAAACTGACAGATGCATGGGGGAAGGATGATAAAGGCAGCCATTTAAATTTTACTTGTATGAGGTGAATTATAGCTGGCAGACAGCACAAAAGTTCTAGAACTCCTGTAAAAATAGAGTATTTACAAAAGCTCCCTCATTAGGTCAACTGAATGAATCAGATACTGTTGCCATTTCACAAATTTCAAGTCTTATAATGATATATTATTGACAGCCAAGCCATTGATGCACAGGTCATTTTGGAAATTAAAATAAGGGCTAACTTTATCTTAGCTATTGCCATTTCACACAACTCCTCTCATTTTGTTTTAGAAGACATGCTAGCACATGTTTTCACTTGGGACTCTGAGGATGCTACTAGAAAGCCTACTTAAAAGAAAGATCTGGGAGCAATGACTATGTGCCACAATGAACTTGACTGCAAAGTATCCCTAACTCCTGATGGAGCAGAGAATGACCCCCAATAAGTCATTTATAAAAGAAATGGGACTCATTACATTGTCTCCTGCCTACCAAAGAGACAAATATCCCAAAGAGAGACGAATCAGGTATCCTTTTGTTTAAAGATGGTCGCTAGCAAGTTCCCACCTGAGCTATCGTGCATACACTTTGACCAGAGAATACAATCCCTCTCTTGGTTCCCCAATGTCAGAGTGATCCCGCTGGAGCAGCAGACCGGAGTCAGGGCAAGCAGCTTGGCCGCAGAAACTGAGTAACAATCTCTCTCCTTCACAGCCCACCTCTGACTCAGCATCATGTGGTTGCAGGGGATCAGGTACCTGGAACAACAAAAAGAGATGGCATCAGTCTCTGCAATGTTCTTTTCCCCTCAGGCCCCTCCTAAATCATAAACAGGACTAGCCAGCCCCTCCCTACTCAATCTGTCCATCCCACCCAGACACCAGGTTTCGCTCCCTGACTTAAAACTTGTCAAGGGCCTATTTCTTCTGACAGAACAACCCCTTAGCAGAGCATTTAAGGGCCTTCACAATTTAACCTCCACAGACACCCTCATCTCCTAAACTACCTGCTATTCCCCTTTGCCTTCGTGCCTTTGCACCCACTGTAACCTTCACCTGGAATGTCTGACAAATGCCTTGTCATCCTTAAAAGTCCAGCTTCAGTGTCACCTTCTCTGGAAAGATTTCCTGGCCCCCTACTCCAAGACAGAGCTAATCGCTCCCTCTGCCACTATGCTCACAACCTTCTATTAAAGCCCTATTACCTTGTATCACAATTATGTCAGCATCTGCCTTCTCAACAGAATGTGCTAACCGAGCAAGGAGCCTACTTCAAGAGTTTTGTTTCATAATCTCAGGAACTCTGGCTCACAGTGGGCACTGAATGACCATGGTTGGCATGAAAAGGCTAGGAGCCACTTCTCATATTCTCATGGGTGATCATGAGAAAACATGGTGACCAAGGACTCACCGATTAGCACTGGGCCCCATTTCCCACAAAACATTTTTGGTTGATGATCAAAAGCATCTCAGTATCATTCTGAACCTGGAGATAAGAAAATCTGGGCAATCATTTCTGATGTATCTGAAGCACATCAGTGGGCTTCATGGACAGAATAAAGTGTGTTTACATAACTATTTCTTAACAGGGAGAAGGACTATACCTATTACTGAAACAAAGATGCAGTAAATAGGATGAAGGTCTGATAGCCAGAAAAGCCTGTGTGTGCCCTTATAGGAACAACCACAACCTTCAGTAAACCGGAACACTTTTGATTCTGCATTCAGCTTTGGAGAAAGAGGCATGTCTGAGAAAAACAAGCTATGGAGGACCGCAGTCTCATGGGACAGCTCAGTCAGTGCTGTAACATAGTTTACAAAACTCATGTTTTGCATCCTCGTGTAGTGAGTAGTGTTTGGGGTGTACGTAAGAGACAACTACGAGTCTCTCCTCGCCAGGAGCAAAACAGTAAGAAGGTAACCAAAAGCTCAGAGAAGAAACAAGTCTACACAAGCCACAACCTCATCTACCCTGAGACCAGAAGAACTAGCTGGTGCCCGGCTACCACCACTGACTATTCTGACTGGGGTCACAATAGATGGTCCAGGATAGAATGGAGAAAAATATACAGCAGAACTCAAATTCTTTTTTTTTAAAAAAAAAAAAAAGCCAGGCAAAATGGAACAGTAGAGAACAGAGGACTCCCTGAGACACTCCAAACCTAGAAACGAGCCTATCCCCTGAGATCACCTTTTAGTGAACAGCAGAGTGGCACACAAATTAAAAGATCGGCGCCCTACTTAAAAACCATCTGTAAGTGACCGAAAGGTCAACAATTACTCAAAAGCAAAAATGAGAAGATAAGGGGCAGGAAAACGAGAGTACTCAAAGTGGAACAAACAGAACACAAAGAGAATGCTGAACATTGTGATAAATGTAACTAACATCACTGAACAATCTGTGTGGAAACTGTCAAATGGGAATCGAATTTGCTGTGTAAACTTTCACCAAAAACTCAATAAAATATCATTAAAAAGAAAATAAAAACAAGCTATGATTAACGAATCAGTTAAAAAGATAAAAAGTATTTTCAGAGTATGTCCTGAGGCCTGTAAACATTAAGCCCTCTCTCACATCTCCCATTGATCCAAATGAGGAAAACCTATGTTTATGTTAATGACTGATCCACTCCAAGAGCCTGAGTCAACGGGGAAAAGACTGAACTCTTCGTGTTACTTTACACTAATGGTTTTAAAAACACTTCCAGGTATGAAATGACAAGCTTTCCACTTAATCTTTAGTCCTCAAAAAAACCAAACCATTGCTCCAGTACTCTGAATATCTAGTATAGCCAGGTTTTTGTTTTTTCCAGTTGCTGTTAAGTTGATTCCAACTCATGGCGACCCTTTATGTGCAGAGTAGAACTGTACTCCATAGAGTTTTCAAGGCTGTGACCTTTCAAAAGCAGACTGCCAGGCCTTTCTTCCAAGGTGCCTCTGGGTGGGTTCAAACCACCAACTTTTTGGTTAGTAGGCGAGCGCTTAACAGCTTGGTGTACCCAGGGACATAAGAGGGTCGTATTCCCTTCTCCTCATACCCTAGGCATATACACACACCTTAAGCCTAAACTGCTATCACTAAGATCCAGACATACCCTCACATGTCTCACATGATGGCATTTTCCTAAGTTTAGTTTCATGAAAGTCAAAAGTTACAAGAACAAAAAGGAAAGATGGAGGGCAGTATGGAAACGGGAGCAGGTCTGCTCTGACTCTTGGCACCTGTGTCTGAGCCCTACTGAAGGAGAGATGGATGTTGTGGGCAGCAAGTGAAGGAGATCTCTTCCATGGGGATCTCTGCAAGAAAGACGTGCTGGTGACCAAGAAGGAAGCAGGGTAAAGGAAATGCAGTTCTGATGCATGCTGTAACATGGATGAACATCAAAAACACCATGCTGAATGAAATAAGTCAAATAATGTATTATATGAAATATCTAGGATAGGCAAGTGTATGGAGATCGAAGTTTCTTCGTGGTTACCAGGAGCGGGAGGGAGGGGAAAAGGAAAACAACGCTTATGGGACACTGAGCTTCTGTTAAGGGTGATGGAAAAATTGGGGAACAGATAAGGGTGATGGTTGAGCATGTGGTGAACATAATGAATGTCACTGAACTATATACGTGAAGGTTATGAAATGCCAAATACTCTGTTACACATATATTTAACATACTTTTAAAAAATCAGAAAAACAAGAACAAAATAGAATGATGCTGGGGAGAGAAGATGCTCCCACCTCTGTGTGGACACAGTGCAGCGCCGGCCCACAGGCACCAGGGACGCAGTGCAGCTCCAGCACCTCAGCACCTGCATTCTCAGGAAGGGCTGGGCTGCACGGCAGGGACAGAAGCAAGGCAATGCCAGCAAAGGGCCAGAGCAGTGAGGAGACTGTGGTAGATGCTGCTGTGGTGGCTTGGCGGGAGACAGAGTTGTTTATGAATACATATAAGACTCCTCACTTGGGGAGTTTATACTTTGTAGGGGCCAAGGTCTTTCATGAGGCAGCTGGGCTGAGAGCCAGAGAGCCCTGCCTGGTGGCTGTTGATGTCAACTCTTCTGTACTCTTAGGCTGGTGAGGCCTAGGGAAATCCAGATTACATAGGATTTACTGTATCCTTATTGTGATCAATAATTATTTAAGAAATAAACTGCTTTAATGCTTTTACATACTGCAGGAATTCAATGACTGCTTACAGCTCAAGCCAAGCATATTTCATTATTTAAGTTGATATACACAGACTTCTATTCTTTATTTAAGATGTATATATATATTAAAAAAAAAAAAGGAACACTGGATCAAATCTAATAAAGCTATTTATCAAATATCACCAGTGGGTAGCTTGAATTTATATTAAAGAGTTATTGGAATTTGCAACTTTGCAAATATGAGCTTTCAGGAGAAACTAAGAATTTTCTTCTGAGTAAATCAAATGAAGGGAGAACTCCTATGGGTTGAAGGAGAGGTGCTGTGAAATTGGAAATGGAGGAGTCAGTTCAAATGAATAACCCCACAGTATTGAGAATCGTGGTTCTGCTGTGTCCTTCTGATGAAGGGTCATCCCAGAGAGAAAAGCAGAAAAGCCTCACACTGGTCTTCTGTCTTTCCACCACTTACAGGCAAAGACTGGGAACAGAATGAAGGCCAGAAGCTCCCCACTCACCAACTGTCAAGACACTGGTTATCAGCAGCAAAAAAATCCCTTAGGAATTTAACAGAGGTATTTGTCTTCAAACTCTTTTCATTTGTACTACACTTATTTTGCTTGGGGATTTTATTTAAATTCAGAGAGCAGTAAACATAATTAGAGACTAGTTAGTGCCCAATTTTATAGGTCTAGATTACTCAAAACCATCCCCCTACATAGATTTTCCTCTCCTTTGTCATTATTCCTCAAACTCTCTGCAACCCTGGATCTATTTTCTATTTTCCTGGATATCATTCATTAAAATGAAACATCATTACTTCTGAAACAATTCAATGACAGCCAATTGATCACAAAGCACACACACTGCCTTCTGTGACACCTGACAACAAAAACAAAACCAAGCAGTGAAGCACAATCGCAGCACTTCATCTTTAGAGATAACAACCCTAATAATGGGCCAACAGGCAAAAATCTATAAAGCAACGTTGGTGAATTTCAAAAAAGGGGCATTTGTTTTTCAAAGAAGTTCTGGCCATATTTCTCTTATCCGTCCATCTTCCCCTAGGCTGGCCGGCATTTTCTGTTCTCTAATACAGACACCCGACTCCCATGCAAGACAGAAACGTTCCTCAAGTGCACATGCAGCTTCTCTTCAAGCAGAGCAGCCTCTATCTGAGCACAACGGGCAATGCAGGTTTCAGAAACCTGACAGTGGACAAGCACCTCTGAAAAAACCCTAATCAGAAGATTGAGAAATGGCATTCAGGGTACTAAGCAATTAAATTTTGCCTAAATGGGAAGTGCCAGGAGCACAGGGGTGATTTGTCACTTCGGTGCTTGTCAGCATTTTCCGCCTGCCCTTGGCCTATCATATGTCACATCCACAGAGGCAGACAATTCCTCCTTGGTTTTCTGCACACTAAAATAGCCTCTCTTTTGAGGTACCTTATTTCAAGTTATTTTTCTGATATTTGGCCAAATGAAACACATCAGTTACAAATGGATTATCACTTTGAAATGTCAATATTTAAGAGTATTTGGGTTGCAACAAAAATTGACAGGTACTTATTTATCTATCATAACAAATGACTTCATTACAAGAATTTACATAATCTT